TCTATCGCTGTCCCTGGTGTGGTCAAAGTTTACGTCAACATGAAGAATACTAAAGTTTGTTCAAATATTATCTTGAGTAAATGACAGCCTGGAAAATTGCCGGTAGAGCATTGTAAATAGCAAATACTTTTGGAAACTTTTTCAATACCGAGTGTATTTATTTGTTTAAAATGGACTGTAAGTCTCCACAGATCGTCAGACAGAATTTTCTTCTTCGACCTTGGTCAAATGAATGATATTTCGTCGCCATCAAACGGCCCTCTGAGTATTTAATAAACAATGTTTTCGGGCACATGGGTAAAGCAATTGAATTAACATGATGAGTAGCATTTGCAACTGCGATACCGTTGTAATTGGATCGCATGTAATATGTTGCGTTTACATGTCGAATATGAGGTACGTATGAAAGCACGCCAAAATGACACGTGTTTCAATACGCTTTGGAAAAATGTAGACTAATACCTTGAATTTTCAGTTAATGGCAAATTATAAAATAGCAAACGCATCATTACCTTTAGCTTTAACCTTCATCAGCCTCAGATGTACAAATATTTGGATCTTGTCTGACGAAAATGATTGTCGCTGTAAATCGTGACAAATATAACTCATTGATTGCGTTAACAAACTAATATTATTATTGTATAATTGACCTATTTGAAGATGATTTTTAAAAGTACGAGAGTTATCTATTTAACACGTAAAACATGACAAGAAAATATAAATAACTTCTGGTTTCGCTTTGACATACCGGTATATAATGAATATAATGGCATATAAGCATATATAACAGCACCATGCTATAATAGCATAAGCAATATCGGTAGGTATACGAGAATTCTAATATAAAAATACCTTTTGTCAATTTGAGCTCTATTTTTAGAAAAAATTTGATGTTTTGAATTTCAATAAGGTTAACGCTGTTGTTTCATACTTTTCTTAGTAGTTTCACCGATTGTAATAATATGAAAATACAGATTCGGAGGCTATTTGGCTGTAGCTTCATTTTTGGTGCGAAGTGCGCAAATCCATTTCTACTTTCGTTATTTGTTACTTTTGCGAATAGAAAGAAGAACGATTAGCATTAGAGCACCCACATATTTGCTTTGTTACATGTACCCCGCTCACAAATTTTAAAATGAAATCGAAAGAAGACCGTGGTATTGACTATTGATATATTCATGCCATGTGTTTTGATGTCAACAAAGTTTCATAATGCAAACACACAATAGAATTTTTTGAGCAAAACAAATAGTTTTTATATCTTCACGATTTTACAGCAAAAGATTACAATCATCGTTCAGTTTTATTTCGACACAAATCTATAGAATACGACGCGAAAATTATCATGTTTTTATTATTCTGGGTGTCATTATTTTGAACCATGTATTTTTTTATTTTTTGGACCGTTGACGTCACTATAAAACAATATTTACATCCGGTTAATTGAAGATATCCATTCATTTTTACATTGTTATCTGAAATATTAAATACAAATAATAATAATAAAAAATTATTTTCAAAGCCTGGCCGTTTTTACCAATTTTTTGGTATATTACATGGATTTGCATTGAAAGTTGAGGTCTTTTATCAATTTTACTATACTGCGGCTATACATAAATCGTATAAATTATTTGCAATTGTCTGGTAGCCTTTTTTTAATTTTTATTGCTATTATTCTGTTATCTTATGTGAAATGTATTCGGTATTGCTAATGTTTAAACTTTTATTATTACCAAAATATTAATTTTGCACTACGTAAATATCATTTTGTTTTTATCTATTGGCTTATCATGTTTTTATATTTAAAATTCAAACAGAAACTTTCTCAGCGAACAAATAGAAGTATCTTTTTATTTTAAGTTAAAATAAAATTCATATTTTCTTCATTTTTCAACTTATATAATAAACAATATTCGATGAATCACGAACCGCAAGTGCCTTGCAAATATGCTAGAGGCATTTAGTTCTCTAATGAAGACGTGTTTTCTTAAATATCTGACAATTTTTACGCCTAAATATTTACGAGACTTAAAAGTTATCTTGATCGTAGATTCACGACTCTTTCGCTTATTGAATGGTAGAGAGCGGATGTCGCTAGTTATTAAGAACAAACAAGATATAGGGAAGACAAAATCAGATAGCATTAACTGAAAGTTTCATAGAGTAAATGGTTTTTACAATTTCGCCATTTTCTGTTTAGGAAATATACTTTTCAAACTATTTTTAAATATATATAATGGTTACCTATTTTTTGTAATATTGTAAAACATGAAAGTAATGCAAATACAAAATTTATGGAAAAGAATGTTGCATATCCGTGCCAGTACATTGCAGCGCCACCTGGGCAGAATGTTTGCGATAAATAGAGTGTTTCCGTGAATTGAAATATAAACAGCAAAGTTTGGAAGAAATATCGGGTGCCATATGATTAGAAAATGGCTGAAATAAAATAAAATTAAACTAACAGCTTCCTAGTTACTTTTTTCATACTTGAGTACTGAAAATTTAAAACGGATTGGATCAGTAGTTGCCGAAATGAGAGATTTTTATTCACTACTACTACGACAGTAGCAACAACAATAACAACAAATTAGTAAATGAATTTTTCAAATAGTATAGTTATTACATATCTAGTTGTAGCTGAAACTGTACTCGTATGACACATAATTTATATTACCAATTGTAACGAATATTATATTTGCTGTCATTATCATCATTAATTACATGTAAAATACGTTTGAACTTGACTTATTGACGCATTTATGACGAAGTTTGATCCTCGCAATTAATATTCAGTTTAGTCTATAATTGGAAGGATATGTAAAAATTGAGATTATGCTACCATGTAGAAAAAATACGAGACTTGGCCACACGACCTAACATTTAAATTTCAATGTAATTGCTCATTAGCAATAAAAATTACAAAACTTATAAAAATTATTGCGACTATATGCCCTCAAGAAATATGACAATAAAACAGATAATAAAAACCATAAATATATTTTTCGCCGCAAATCGTAGGAAGTAACATGTAATAGGGCCATTCAAATTGCGGTCAATTTTTTCATACATCTACCCATATTTCGATTTATATCGGTTACAAATTGCTTCTACAAATCAGTACAAATCAGACTTTTAGGGTGTCGGGTTACGGTAATTCGCTTCGCGCTTTCTTTTTTGTAAAAATAGCCTGGCGAGTGGAGTAGATTTATTTGAATTTCATGACTTAGTTAAAGGGTAGATTTGGGACTTAGAATAAAAAAAATTCTATTTTGAAAGAGACTGGTATCTAACACACGTTTGAACTTGACTTATTGGCGCATTTATGAGTCGCTATGAGTAATTTTTTTTTCAAATTTATTCACTCTCGCATTTAAAGTGCTGTTCCAAGGAAGGGGAGAATGTTCGAACATATGGACATGTAGGTCACGCACTGATACTAGTTGAGTACCAACTTTGCCGGGAATTTGTGCGGACAATCGTGGCGGAATAAAATATCCCCACGCGTCACAAAAGAGAAAATTTTGATGAAATATAGGGTCCCGTAAGATTCAGGGAAAATTGAAAAATATATGAAAGTAGTAGCCTCATAGCGACTTTTTCCGCCTTTTAGATTCATCCAGTTGTTGAAGAGTTGAACAAAAATTTAACAAAATGGTCCGTCTGAACACTTAGCCTCTAATCTTGATTTATATCATGATTTTGTTGCACCGAGGTCTATATTAAAAAGTTATTATTAGGACAGGATATCATGAATTTTAATTCTGGTAATTCCTGGTAATTTTCACCGATTTTTTTCCCGATAAAAAGGTGCATCCTCTCACGGTGAAAAGACCCGACCTTATCTGAAAGGGCAGTTTGATATTTAATCTGTAGATAATTATTCCTAACTATTGAGATCGTAGAATTTCGAAGAAACATGCTGTACCACCGGTTTGGGTCTAATTTTATAATCCTTTATAAAACCAGTCGTAAAAGTCATTTTGTATGTCTGTTCTCAAATTGTTTTCGTTCGCCTTTTTGCTTCTCCGTCGCGACAGTTACATTTTGTCGAGTGTTTAATTTTCAATATTTTTTCTCATGTATATTTTTTTACCGTGGGGAATAAAGTTTTGTTACAAATACTCGTTGCATTTACTTGCATTTAAAAGTAAATCTGTTTGATTGAGATCAGCAAAATTCATGGGTTTGGTCAAAGGTAAATTTTGAAGTGTGTTATATACACCTCAATGGTTTTAACCCGCTTTTTAAATTTTACTCTAACTTTATTTCATATGATGCAATTTTGACTAGCAAAATCAGTTATATTAACCTTAAAATCCTAGTAATTTTACCAATGTTTTCTGCTAATGATTCTATATATAGATGCGTGTGTGCTTCATAAAAAGTATATATAAAATAATTCCACTTGGGTAAGGCCTATGTCCAACACGTCGACCGCAAATTTGGTAAAGTTTTCCCCAATGAATTTGCAAGCACGCGTTCAGGCAGTCATTAGGAATCATTGAGAGTCAGCTAATAAACAACAAAGGTATATTTTGGCATCAGAGGTGGATAACGTGCGGTTTATCTGGTAGGGATAATAAGATTCATCAAATCCAGGCGCTTGCTCCAATGTGGACGGTTACGGCGTTATATTACTAACATTTTTATTCATTTTTTTAATGCGAAATGCATAATTAAAAAGTTTGAATATATAATACGGCGGTTACCAGTTACGGGCACAATGCGTGTATAAGATCAGTTAGTAATTTATTTGTTTCCGTATTCCGAATGCTCGAAACCGTCTAGTTCAAGTTTTAACCACCATTGTTAAAATAAATCAAAGATTGGCCATTTATTTAATATTTCATATATTGTCAATATATTTGAATACTTTTAACATATTTTACGTTGAATATGAAGCTTGAAAACCAAAAAAATAGATAAAAGGCGTTGAGAATATGTCAGTATAAAAAGTGTGCAAGGAAGTGCATTAATTAATGTTGAGAATATGACCGGTACACATTATTAATGTTAATTTAATTTCACAGAGGTAGAAAGTATTAAAAGATAGATAAAATGATCAAAATAGTATTATTTTATTTTGTCGTTGCTTGTCTTCATACTCCTGTCAAATCAGACCTTCATGAAATCAGTAATGGTGAGTAGAATGAATTAGATAATTTCCATTTCACGAATTTTTGGAGCTTGCAAACTTTTAACTATTAAGTTAATATTGGATATATAAATTTAGTCCTTAACATTACAAATATATATATATTTTTCTTTTTTTGAATTAAATGCCTTGCAAGGAAAGTTTATGCATAATATTTGATAATTTTTCATATTTGTGGTTAAGTTGCAATTTTTTTGACAACTATGTTAGATAAAAAAAAGTCTGTTAAGTTGCAAATTATCTGAAATAGGAAGCGAAACCCAATATTTGTAAATATTATAATTAAAATGGAAGAAAAACCTTTCTCTTTAGTGATTTCTAAACAAATGGATCAAAAGTCACCATTTGCAAGATTAAATTATAAATAATTGAAAATTATTATGCTAGAATATCCAGCCAAACATGAAATTGTATCCATTTTTAAACACTTTTTCCCTTATTATGTTCATTAAGCTTCCGATATATCTTGCACTGAAAAGGAGATAATAACTTGGCCCACGTATGATTTCATTTGTAAATGAAATATTATGAATAATAGCCAAAACATCAAACATATCAGTTATCGGGGCTCTGTTATCAATGTCAATTGAGGTGAAAAGTTGACCAGACCTCATTTTTGACCCCTGACCTTTAAGATGACGTATAATGATGACCTACAGGAATTATTGTTTTTGATTAGGCTCGGGTCATAACAGTACATAATCTACCTTCTCCAATGTGATGTTTTCGTACATGTATCTGGTTGACATAAATGTAATCAGTTTGTTGATATGATGCTGTGTAATTTGTATATAACTAATTTAAAATTTAAAATATTTAAAAAAATTTATACATATATATCATTGTTTATATAAAAAATAATTTTATTTCAGAAAATATTGACAACATCGATCCGCGGCGAAAACTTTTCAGACCTTTGCAATCACGTGACCTGAGTAACATGATTATTGATAACGACAGAAAATTGATATACGTTGGAGCAGTTAATTTTCTTTACGCAATGGATCTTGATGACATTTCCATAAAAAAGGCAGAGGTAAGTAAGATTACGAAAACATTAAATTTTCTAAAGACAGTTTAAACAAGATTTCCCGTAATTCAAATATCATTTTATAAACTACATTGGGTTGATAAATGTTTGCGGTATATGACATTTGATTGTCATTTACATCCGCAAAGATCAACAAATATTTTTTTTATTCTTCTCACCAGTGTTCAAATGGCTATAGGTGGCCTTTATGTAACTAAACCAGCGATCAATTTTCCGTTTATATAAGAAGTTGATATTGTAACATTTCAGTGCCTCTGTTTCGAGAATTGGTTGGTATTACCGATAACAGGATTTGGTATTTATAATGCTCATGTACATTAGTTCAGATTCACTTTCCAGTTGAGCCAAATATCATCCTGTCTCTGTTATCTTATTTCGCAAACAAACACAAATAATGTAATATGCAAATATGAAAATACTTCGATCGTTCTAACTGCCGTCGCTTATCAGTTAATGTTCAATTGTTTGAGTACATATGTAGACGACATAATAGGTAATTGCAGTTGGATTTTAATTCCTGTGGTAGACATTGTTTTACGACAGTGCCATTTGACACTGGCGTATGTCGAAACAAAGAGTGGCGTTTTGTATTCCTTCCGCGATTAGGTATCGAATATCTGTGAATACTTTTTCTGGACATTCACACGAAATGATTGGTATTGCGACGAATACTCTTGAGAATTTGTCATCTCGAATATGATGAATCAGTTTTGAAACTTTGTTCACTTCTTTCTTGTTGTGGTGTGAAAAGGAAGAATTATATCAACAGTCATTAAAATGCTATCGTATTCATCATTTGTATAAATCTCTAGGAATCTTCCCTGAGTGTAAAAGTCGCTGATCGTAAAGTGTGAGGCCGGACAAAGTTCTGTCGAGATTTGACGTTTTCATAACTATATATAAAGTACACATCATTCATATTAAGATGAAATTTTGCAAATTTCTTAGTATTTTTAAAATTTTTAATTCAATCCTATAGCGTACGGCGGATAAAACTATTTAAATTCAGTATATTATGTATGAAATACACACCCCTCGCGTTTTCACTTTGCGTTTCAACTTTTTCGTCAAAAATAGGTTTAATCAGATATCAATTCATTTCCATATTTTGATTAAATAATGATATAAAAAAATGCTTCGGAAAACTCATTCATAACTTTCCAGCCTTGAATAAACAACACCAATTTCTCCTTACACTTCTTATTCCTTAAAACCGCTATGTGTCAAAAATAGAATTCATATTAAAAAAACATAACGATTAAAATAAAACATCTAATATGATTACATCCTTTTCAGATTCATTGGGCTCCCGAGCCTTTTCAACTTCAAACTTGCCTCAACTTCAAAGGGGACGCGGTGAGTGACATATAGGCCCCAGATGTCAAAATCATTCTTAAGCTTTGATTAGATCAGAAGTATCTTAATCACTGTCCATGTATGTTTCAGCCAAGTTTTTTATTCTATTTTAATATTATTAAATTTAAAGTATTGTTATTTTGATATGCAGGCAAGATGTCAAAACAGTATTCGGGTTTTGCATTCAGTGAATGGAACTCATCTCTACGCTTGTGGAACAATGGCTTTTAGCCCGACATGCACTTACATTCACAAAAAGGTAACGTATAGTGATTTTTATAATGAATCAAAACTTGAAAAAGTCCATTCGTGAAACGCTGTTAAAAATTTGTTGAATAAATTTGTGGAACGACCCCCGAATTGGCGGCATTACTGAATGGCAAAAGCCTAAGACATGACTAAATTCATGCTTCGCCAATTAATATATCTCGAAATGAAACCCCATGCCCACCACCTCACCCAAATGTAATTAATTGGATAGGTGACTTTATCGAGCCAAAAAGTTTCTAGTTCTTCCAAAAATTTTAAGAATTTGTAGTGTGACAAGGCTACTTCCTTAGTCTATTGTTGTTACTATTAAAAACTCGCAAGGAAGGTACATGGGGGCTGGTTGAAAAAATTTAAAAAAAAAAGAATTGGACACTACGGGTGTGGAGAATAGTTTGTCGTATAGTTAATAGTCAATAGTTTGCCGAGGCGCAATGAAAAAAAATAATACAAATTAATAAATAGTGTTTGCAAAATTGATGTAGAATAAAACTTTTTTTAGGATCATTTTGCCTAAAAAAAACAAACATTTTGTGTTTATAGTTTAGTTCAGTTTAAATATTATTTGTACACACAGTTTCTGAATTTCTATTCCGAATTAAATGTAACTTGTCACCATTGATTTGATATATCAACCTCTTTTCGTTTGTTTCTTTTTTACATAAAACCAGAATAACTGGATATTAAATAAAAAATGTAATGTAAAATACTTGGAACTATTTTTGTTAATAAGTGCATTAAAAGGGCAAATTAGATTAATTATGTGATAACTCTTGAAAAAACGCATGTGGAGCTTTTTATGTAAACTTACAGGCATCATCACTCGATATCATATCGATATAAAAAAATGCTTTTAATATGTCTTGTTCGACATCAAAAATGGGCAACAAAGGGATCGATTGATTATACAAAGAAACAATTAATAGTTATGTACAACATTCTCGTAGATATATAGTAGTCATTTTGTTCCCTAAATCGAGCAGCACTTGAGCTTGGTGAACTGTTGTTGTCAATATTGTCAGTTTCATTTTAGCTTTCTTTGGTCAACCGTGATCTGTGGATAGCGCGTGTCATTCGCGAATCATGTCTGGTACAACATTAGTCGTTTGATTTTTGAATATAATTACGGATCAAAAAAGTTGGATTGACTTTTGATTCTTTTCAAAATGGCGTTGGCGAGTATATTTATGTTCCAGTATACCGGGTACCATACACAATTGAAATATTATCTTGTAGCGTCGCACCCACCATCTTGCGAATTGAATACCACAAACAAACTTTGGTGACTTGTGTAAACCTGCGCCTGGCGCTAGTGGTGTAAGTATGCTGCGGGCTTCATGCCAAGACTAAAACAGACCGAAAGTTTGTAGTAACAGACTCGTACCGAAACGAAGGCAATGAAGTTAATATCGCTGTCCTTTGACAAATTGATTCACACCTTAAATTCAAATTAGAGATTTAAATCGAATTTCTTTTTTGCCAGCTAAGTCATATTGGAACGACGTTCTTGGTTCTGTTGTCTCTCAGTTAGTATATCTACTTCTTCCTCTAGCTCTTCCACAAGCTTTTCAAGTTCCATAACTCTTTCGTTTGTTTTGGTTGCAGTTTTGTTGAGCTCGATTTGGCTTGATCTCAACTCGTCGAATTTTTTCGACACGAAATCCTGGCTTATTTTGATTTCATGGATTTCGTTTTTGATTTCAGTAAAGGATGTTACTTCAGATCTTATCTCGTTTATTGACTCTTTCAATGATGTTATTGAATTCTCCAAATTTGGAGTATTGGTGAAGGCCTGGTTTGCATCGAAAGATCTTTCAAGATGTTGCTGGATGATGGTAGGGATCTCGAGACGCAGTGTCTTTAAAACTGTACTTTCTAGTACAGACACCAGATTGGTAATGTCGTCAACTTTAATTGTGGAGGTCATTGACGCAGTCGAACGCATTTGTCGATCGGTTGGACTTTTGCGCTTAGGTGGTGCTGGAGGAGAACTGGATTTGTCTGGAGTGTCCATCTTTTCCCACTGCACAATTCAAGATATTCTTCAAAAAATTAGATGTGGATTACATCCATACAAAAGTTACAAAGATTATCAATATTAAGTTTTATAGTTATTCATATATCATCTTGGACAGCAAACAATTGAAGGAATATAGACACCCGTCTTACTAATAGCAATAAATAATATTGAATAGTTGTCAAAGATGTAATAATTTTGGGAAATGTTATTCTCTTTTTTCTAACTTGGTCAATTGTCTGAGCTAAGTGGCTGATTTCTCCAGAGCTAAGTTTGGGTCAAAAGTGAGGCCATTGGGATAAAAACGCGTGACAACAAGACAACAAAATCGACAATCATAATACAGGTTAAAATCCTCAATTTGATACACAATTCTTCAATTTCATACAATTGTTCGTTTCTTAGGATTTTCAACGGGCTCCAGGACGAGGTCAACGTGGAAAATGGCGGGCACCTCAAGATCCGTTGTCAGCAACCGTCTCTACAATGACAGGTACTTTATTTGTGCTTGTATATTTATCTTTTGATGTGTATCTTGGACATAATGTAAATTATAACCACCAAATAATATTAAATAATAAATATATTAAAGATTCAAAACAATATATCACTCTGTAGTGTATATACATTATTATTCCTCCATTCTACGTAACTTTAGTCAATTAGGGCGCCCATGGTTATAATTGCCTTTGTATTGGCGTTCACGATTTTTCATAAGCCTTTGTACTGAAACTTGTATGTTTATATTGAAACCGCTATCATCGGAGTATAATGAATGAGATTATCTTTTAAAAAAGAGGCCTAATTGCGAGACGTCTAGATTATTATCTTAAAATTGCACCAGAAAAACCATTCGCGGATATTTGTTCAAGTGTTAATCGCACACAGTCATTTCAACAATTGTCGACGTGATGGGCATACTGATTTTCAACGGAGTTTTTCTACACATCCCTGTCGCAATAGGGACGGCAAAGTCGACCTCTGTCTTACTTCAAACACGTTGCTTAAATTCAGATAGCAAAGTATCGAACAGCAACCATACTGGTTTACTTAACAATATGTTACATACTTGAATGCAGTCAAACAATCGACATCAAACGCGGCATTCAGAATTATTAACTTTTGAATGTTTCACATAAATGATTCTAAACTTCAAATAAAACCGAAAAGCTTAAACAGGATAAAATATTTCGATTGGTTTATTCAAGAAACCATGGCTTAACTTTGAACTTCATATTTTAAGTTGTCACGCATCTTGACCAAAAATCTCTTAAATGTTGGATTAGAAATCAATTTAACTGCGGATCGTATTGAACTGTGTTTTACGGACAAAAATATGAAAAATATATATATAAAATGATATAAAACCGATAATACTATTAAACTCTTGTAGATTAACTATTTTTTATTGTTTTTTCAGAAGGTGCATTGTTCACAGCAACAAGTTTAGCATCTTCGATGAAAAATGGAGTCATTGCAAAAACTACAAGCCGTGGAACTCCCTTGCGTACCAATGAGAACGACAACTTTTGGCTCAGCGGTATTTCACTTTAACTTTGTGGAATAATGCATATTATCATTTTATTCATTTTTTTATATCAATGCCAACTATTAAAAGTTTATCGGTTATAATAAATTGTTGCCCACAGGCGACATTTCATGCGTAAATAATAAATCAATGTTGACGTGTTCACGATTTTTTTTCATAAAAGTAACATAAAAAATACAATTTACGTATAACGTATAATCAAATGGAACTGCCCGCACAGCAAATGATTTCATTGTTAGAGTTGATAATATCAAGTAAAACGTGTTTTTCCAAATTCATTTCTCATTCTAAAATTTTACTTTAAAATCGAGTATTTCTTATCTAATATTCACGTAAAGATCCTAAGTCAAACCCCTCACTTTAATCCCTAATCACAGGTCAAATCGAATCGCTGTTGTACCGAGTCATATGTCAAGTTCTCAGTTGTAACAAATTTCAACAGAACGACAGTAAAATAGAGAAAATTATACATCATAATTCACCAAAATTAATTCTCTGGTCACCGAGTCTCTCTGGTGCTTAGTCCAATTCTAGTTCGAATAGTTTATTTGGAAAACTAGAGTCGATTTTGGTCTTTGAAAAACGCGAATCCAGTCCGAGTCTACGACTCGCGTCTTTTATACACTGACATGTACTAATAAGTTCGGTGGAGCGGTTAGATATATAAACAATGAAGATTTTATATTAAATCGATCTTTGACCCAATATATGACAACTAAATACAGTACACAACAAGTGAGACTCTACAAAATTTATTGCTAGATTATCCGATCCAATCCTTGACTGGTATTTTTATTTCTAGATCCACACTTCGTGTCATCATTTAGTGTTCCAGATGAAAGAGGTCAAGAAAAAGTTATCGTTTTGTTGAAGGAAAATGCCGAAGAAATACCCACTGAAATATTAACGCAGGACAGCGACCATTCTCTTGGACTTGTATACTCAAGAGTAGCTTGTGTTTGTGCTGTAAGTGCTGTTATCGATAAAATCTTCGATATCGACCAACGCATGCGTACCGATTGTGTGGCATGTAGTCTTGAACTCGAGCTGTGTGAAATATATATTGAACTTTTGGCCTTCAATACTTTATAACGATTATGAAAAAAAAGTGTTGTACGACATTTTGAAAAATAAAAATGGTATCTGTAATTGATTTAGTCAGTTCATGAAAATATTCACTAAGTAAGTAAAAGAATTTAAAATCGCTATCGCAGATCTTCGACGTAATGTGTTAGTAAAATGGAGTATATGGCATTTAGATTTAAACTCTTGATAGTTGATAAGGCGTCAAAATGAGAAAAATGGCCCATCATGAAGCATAATATTTCATCCACAAAACATATTTGAGGTATAAAACACCTGACACAAACACAAATTGAACTATCGTGACAAAATTATTGTTCCATTTCAGTTTCAACTATTATTTTTTATCTTTTTCACCACGCCCGCATAAACTATCATTGTTGAACGAAATTATCTACGAATACAATAGGAGATCGGCTTTTTTACATCACAAACCGAAAATAGAAATCTTTTTAAGACTAAAAACCATCAAAAAAAGTAAAAGTATATAAAGCACAATTATATGTTTTAAGAAAATATTGTCAACTGGTTATTATCTATTTCAAAAGGATTTTTTGATAAGGAAAACTTTTTAGGATTTTTTCGTATAAAAGAAGATTCTAGATTGAAAATATGTTAACGATACAAAAGAACTACAAATTTACTATAATTATATTTATTTTACAGCTTTACTTTATAAACAATTAGAATTTAGAATGGCCAAAATATTTGTTAAATATTTTTTTTTTCAGAACGACAGAGGTGGAAATTTATGGGTACTCAAAGACAATTTTGCAACTTTCACTAAAATGAGGATTGCCTGTCCAGTAAAAATAAACAGAGGAAGGAATCGACCTACAATACCGTTCTTTTACGATGAAATACGTAAGAGATATATTTTTATTTTTTTTATTTTATTTTTAACGCAGAATATAATGAAAATTTTATCAGGTAATGTTATATCGTGAAAGGTAATATAAGAATAAACGTAATGCTCTTCACACGTAGACAAATAAACAACTCTGACAAATTGCGAGTGATACGATCTCAAAATTAATATATTTAATGAATGTTTTACTAAATATCGTTCACTGGATGACTGAAAGTGCTTGATTGTACCGAGTAGAAATTCAAACACTGCCGAGTATAAGCCTCACTATATACGTATTATAAAAATAGGTGTCATAAAAAACTCATAACTGTCGGAAAATCCGCCATTTTGGTCTAATAGTTATTAAAAAAAACTTATTTATTGTTCAATAACCATATCGTATCATTTATTTGTTATTTTTCATATCTGAAATAATTTATTTATAGTTTGTGGAAATAGCTATTATGATTGTCAAAATATAAGGTGACTCGTATTCAAACCATAAAACTACATGCCAGAAGAATAAATATTATGAACCTCGTCTAATCCATATTTATAAGTGATATGTTGCCCACATATCTCACCTTGTTTTTTGTTTCGTGGTCAAATTTGCAGTAAACATGCCTAGGAATGTCTTAAAATTGTAAAGTGGTCACCTCTGGATAATAAACCTATATAGAAGAAGACATCGTTTTAGACGAATTTTAATCGTTTCGAAAAACATGTAACTAACGATACCAAAGCTTTTAAAACGGTTGTCCCGACCCTCTGACGCATAGGTGGTGATATGTAACGATAAATCAACTTATTGTTAAATTCTGAAATGTTGCAACCCGACATCGAAACCTACACCTGAAAACGAGCTCAAATAAACACCTCGGGGCTTTTTAAATACATAGAAACTAGTTCCGTTGCAATATTTTAAGATATTATATCTCTTCATATTGTTTTACAGAGAGCAGTCATGTTATACCCAATCCGGAAGAACCAAGCAATCCGACGATATATACGATCTTCACTACACCGAAGTAAGTATCGGTGCTCATATATTAATATAATGTGCTAATAAACAGAATTACATTCAAAATACTCATTTGGAAAAAGTACATTATTTCGAAACATGCTTGACTTCATGTTCATCTTAAAAAAAGGTGGGTTAGTAATAAGCTATGTTGGTAAATTCTGTTTGGTAAATCAGATTACAATTTTGATAAGCATCACTCTATATAAAAAGAGTTTATGACATATGGTGGTGTACCATGTGCCTCACCTCAGTACTGGCGTCATTTTAAAGATTAGCTGATTTGAACTTTTGTTGCATTTGAATTTAAGAGCAACCACTTGTCAAATACTATCGCAAGCAAATTCGCAACTTCTGAAGAAAACTGTTTCAGCGGTGTTAGGATTCAGCGTGTTTCCACGAACCCGTACTTGGAATGTCGTAATAATAGGCGAACCCTTTTTTGTTTTATGTTTTAGACGATCGCAACAGATGCGTAACATGTCCCACAACTGACGACTAGCGCTATATTTGGAGTTTTCAAAATTATGTATTAGATTTATGCAAAGCGTGTCATGCTAATTTAGCTCACGTATTGACATACATTGATTTTCTGTATTGTGGGAACATGTTGTTAGTGAGATACAAAAGAGAACCAGTTTTTAAAACTTTAAATCCCATCATTGTATATAAGTTTTCTGATGCTGATGTCTAAAATCATTATGTTACTAAATGTTCAATGTGATGTTTTCAGTGGTGCATTTGAAGCTACTGCGACATGTGTATTCGAAATGAATGACATCAGAAAATATTTTTCAACAAATAAATATTGGAATCGACCAGGAAAGTCATCTTCGTCAATATATTCAACGTACGATGGACCATCTTCAACTGCACCGGGGAAATGCGTACCGGACACTTCAACCATGTCGGGAAAAAGGTTGCTATTTTATTTTTTTGATACAGTATTTACGACTAACCTAATCGGTATGTGCAAATTCTCTACTTGGTAATTAGGATTAAGAGAGCATTCTGAAACATTTGAAAATACGTACTTGTTTTTGTTGAACGACCACAAAGGTAGTTAGGTCACACAAATATTGTCCTTATGTTTTCATGCACACAGCACACTTTACGCATTTTCTTGAATGAATGAACCACTGGCATTTCATTACTACTCTTTCAACTTTTAAAATCGATAACATATGATTTCAGATTGTCTTTTGGAGGTGAACATCCTATCAAATATGGAATCATCAAACCTAAGGATGAATCGGCAATTTATCAAGACACAGGAACAAGATACAAACATATTGTCGTTGATAGAATAACAAGAAGAGAGCGACAGGGAAGCGAATTGGTAGATCGTCAATATGATGTGGTACATTACATATCAGGTGAACTCCCAAATAGATCGACCTTGTTTGCACTAACTAAATGACCGCTTTAATTATTTTTATCCAGTTATTCGAAACAAGATACAATCAAAATAATGATGTTTTTTCCGTTTCAGAAACTGGTTTCATGAAACGATTAGTATTCTTTGTCGAGGACAGAAGTCAATTCTGGGAGATTCCATCAAGAAATATATTCAAGGTATTAGGAATGAATATTTGTCTATAATTTTAACTACGAGTCTTACCATGCTTGTTCTTTGTCAGTGTACGAGAAAGGTAAAATGTTTCATTGCTAGGCATGGGATTTGAGAAGCTATTACAACTTTATTAATAATTTAGTAAAACGCTTACATGCATTGGTTGGCCGCTTTTGCGATATTCTAGTGCACCATAGAACCGTTCAGTAAATGACATTACATTAACAATTTGACAAAAGTTTCATTTATATCCCTGCCTAGAACATTATATTTGATATAATGTGTCAACTTCAGATCATTTGACAAAAAGGTTGCATCGCAGCAATCAACATTATAGATCTTTGGAAGCAATAATCAGAATACCACACATTGTTTTATCAGGATGATGAAGTCTCCGACACAGTAACCACAATCAAAATTGAAAATGGACATTTTTACATTGGAACTAACGCTTCCGCCATTCAACTTCCGGTTGCTTCTTGTTCCATGTACAAAGGTTGTTACGATTGTAAAGCAGCAAACGATCCTTATTGTAACTGGAATGATGTGGAAGAAAAGTGTGAACTATTTGATTTCAACACGTGAGTTATTACATCTGATATCAATACAACTACCTCTCATGTACAATCTGTTTTTGTTTTCGCTGGTCTTTCGCTTTCGAATCATATCTCCGCCGTCTTTTTCACGCATTTCCAAATAATTTGAGTAGCTGAAGCCAATTAGCGCAACTTATTATTCTGGGTATCCAGAATATTTTTAATGTGATATCACAAAACTGCTCAGAAGTACACAACACTTACTCAAAAAAAAATTTCATGAAATGTTTGCTGTTAAAAATATATATCGGGTACTTTACAAGATGATGTCAGCTACTAAACAGCGAATCCTCAGGAAGAATTTGTTTCTCTACTAATCCTTGTCATTTCTATTTGCAGGCCATCAAAAATAAACTTGCTTATACTGAAGGATATCAACCCGACAAGCGAATGTAGACAAGGGGGAGAATTAAATGCTGACAAGAAAAGTGGTGATAATGATGGTAAATTTTATTTATATTTCACATAGAAAGAATGAGCCATTGTTAATTAAAATTTTATCGATAACATTTCAAGTTTCATTAAAATATTTCAATTAAAAAATGACAGTCCTCGATAACATTCTATCGTATGTGATGTTATATATATCATTAGAAACCAATACCGTTTTCAAAACACAATCTTATAATATTGTGCTTTGAGTACAGTTATAATTCGGTATTTAAAACGTTATAAATTGAATCAAAGTTATAAATACTATGATATACACAGATATTTACGACAAACCGAATGCTGAGTTCGACATGATTGCAGAAGAAAACGTCAAATTGAAGTTCCTAAATGAAGAGCAAAACAAATCTATAAATCTTCTTGAGAAAAAGAACAGCTATTTGACCGCAAAATTATCTGAATCGATGTATGAATTATCATCTCTGGCAAAAAATTATAGTCAACTGTCGACTTTATTACTTCAATACGATGCAAGAAGAAAATTAGTCATTCAGTTATATAGAAATACCGTGTATTCTCTACATGCCTGTCAGCACGAAAAGACACAGACATCGTAAGTTGACTAAACACAATATTTTAGGCGTGTACATAACGTGAAAGAAATTTCAAAATACAAACATTGCTTGTTTTCACGTTGCAATTAATTAATTACATCTTTAAAAGTAGGATTAAAACTTTTCTTTCAAGGCGATTGCTGGCTCAAAAGAAGGCCGCCTTAGCAGATCAGATGAGGGCAGAAGCTGATCGACCGTCTGACGGACAGAAGGGCGTCGGGGCGAATAGATCTAATAGGGATTGTGGTAGACGAACATTGGAGAAAATGGCTACAGATGAATCTGAATCTGGTATTAGACGTTGCGACAAGGAAGAAGAATATGCCAGTAAAATAAGAGGTTTGTTATTTGTTTTATATTGATTTGTTTTGTATGTAGCAATAGATTAGCATCCCATTCAATAATGTTTTAAACAAGTTAGCAGCATCAGCTACATTTTTACCAGAGCATGGTTATTTATAAGCAACCACATTATATATACGTAAAACGCTATAAAATATAATATCGTTTCATCACCAATGATTACCCTCTGATTGAAATGGCGGGTTAGTGTTAACCATGATATTTTTGAAGAATCGAGGCCTCAGAGAAGATTTAGAGCAGATACATCTTTTCCAGATCATTGTTTTTCTCACCAAAATACCACCTGCATTGGACAAGTCAAGTTAAGTTCCATAGTTCGCAACCACAAATAAGCTACGCACAAACTTTATGTTTCACAAATTAATAATGGTATTATTTCAAACAAACTACAGAACTGCGTCATGACATGAAAGTATTGGAACGAGAGAAGAAAACGAACGTTAATACTCTTGCAAGTTGTTTGTCCGGATCATCCAGACTGAAGCAACGAATTCATCTTCTAGACGAGACTAAACAAAATATGACAAAGGAAAAAACTCAACTTCAAAAACAAATGAACCAAATAAAGGAAGAAAACCAGAGACTGAAATTGAGTTCGGCACTTCCAGGTAATAATTTTTTTACTATTATGATTTGCAATTCCCTCGTAGAGGAAACTAATTGTCGAAAATTTTTGCCTATGACACAGAAATATTAAGATTGAAAAAAGACAAAAATCAGTAGATTTGATTTTTGACAAATTTTGTAATGCTCCATTTATATTCCTCTTGTCGATTGATTTGTAAGTGACAAAGGCCTATTATTGTCAAAAATATTTATATACTACGAATTACTTTGAAATCAAAACCAAATTTTTACGTTCAAAATTGTATTTAGAACGAGGTTGTGGAGAAACCCAATGGTTTGCCTATGAACCAACCAGAAAAATGTATTTGCTTACTCGAACATCTTCAAACAACGCCAAAGCCATTAAATACTGTTCGACACACAACGCCGTTTTGGCAACAATGAAAGCCGACGAAGAAGCAAGGTAAGATTCCCTATTCTAAATATTTTCAATGAGATGTCATTTATTAGAAAATCATTTTTATTCGAATTTTCACATGTTCACAGATACATATACGAAATAGGACAAAAGTTTGCTCCAAGAAAACGTTATTGGATTGGGCTACAGAAACATAGCAATGGTACCATGATATGGACAGACGACGGATCTACTTTTAATCCATACGCAGCTCGCAAGTTTTCAAAGGGTCAAAAGGGAAAATTATCCAACGAGTAAGTGGCTTATTTACAAGTTTTTAGTTATGTATGCTTGGTATTTCTTGATAAACGGCACAAATGAATATTTACCTTTTTCCGCATTTGAAATAATTGTTCAAAATTATTTTGTTAATCTGTTTAAACTTCACCATATTAACAACTTTTAAAACTTTTCAGTTTGCAAATAAGTTATGATTTGATGTGACATTGCGATTAACGGTATATGATTTTGTTTATATTTTTTCAGGGGAAAATATTGCGTCGAAACAACACTTCGTTCAAATCAATGGCAGCTAATTCCATGTAATAAAGCTCGCAGGGTGATTTGTATGAAAGGTAGGTATTTTCTTTAATACAATATTTAGTATTATATAATTTAATCTGATTCCGAAAATTCAAGAATAATTTATTCGAATTGAAAGAAAGGTAGCCAAGTATTTTTGCATATATCTAATTTATGTTCTAAACGAAATTACTGTATAACGATATATAACTCAAAAGCTAGAAAAAATGAATACCTTGATGAAATAAATGCACTTTAAATAGTTAGTTAGTTATTGCTAGCAATAAGCTGCAATAATTTTTTTTTAATATTATGTTATTTATTTATATCATATGCATTGTATTTAATTTTCCAGATTTTGTTGAAGTTGAACGATAATGCATTCCGAGAAAGAAGAAAATAACATTTCTCTGCGCTTTGATATATATTTTATTATTTTAACAACGCTTATTATTTTATTTTGCTACATTGAAATTTCATTTTTATTGCTATTTTTCCAAAAATTGTTTCTGTACAAGTGCTTTTAGTTTAAGCATTAGAATTTGTTTATGAAGGTGCTACAAAGTAAATATTTTTTATTGAAATGATAAATAATGCATTTTCCTACAAAATATTCAATCCAACATAACAAAAAAATTTTATCCGATATTTTAAGTCAAGTAGTTTTCAAAACATCAATTGTAGAGCTTTTATAGTAGATTATAAGAATAAAAATCCAAAAATAAATTGAACGAAAGCCTTCAAGTAAGCCATCGATCCCTTTATCAAATGAGATTGTTACATTGTCTTGTGTATTTGCAATAGTCAAAGGTAGTCAATTTCCACGCCGCATCTAGATTTAATTCCCACTGACATTTCTTTCGTTTGCCGCAAAGTAATATAAATTTCAACTTCTATAATGGTTAAAATTGCACGAAATACTTTGTACAACTTAAGTCGCGCATCCAAGACTGGAAAAGCCACTTATTCTGTATTTTAGTTCACCCAGCGCCCACACTAAGAATACTTATGCTTCTTGCCAGTTTTTTTTTTTTGTATTTGAGAATTGATTCGCGCAACTTCTATTGATTGGGTTAACTTACACCTTATCACCACAGTTCAACTTGGTCCCATTACACACATCATCATCTTCCTGTAACTGAAATTTTCATTAAAAACATCCATTTTGTGACTAATTCCTTGCTAGCTGCTTTATGCCACCCACCGTTTATGGAGCATTTACTTCCAGAATACTGAAAAAACTAGTATACAACAATTAAATGCTGTAATACTGCCAGCTTATTATTGTACAGTTCCTGACTATGTTTTCTTTAATGTTATTAAATAAATTTACTTCGTATAAAATACGGCTGGTTTATAACTGAAATGAAAAGGCGAGGCATGTATATAGGGTTAGGGTTATACACAAACGTAAAAACGTATACGTACGTTGCGCAGAAAGTAATCTTGAAGCCCAATGAAGATGCTCAAAACATAGAAAAGTACATAAGACCCTGGATTACTCTCAAAAACAAGCAAGATCTCAGCAATCAGAATTTTGGTTTGAACTTCAAATTTTTATGTAAGGCGTAAAATCCATAAAAAAAGTATATATATGAAATACTATTCAAACATATTACACGAAAATAACAAAAGTCATTGAATTGGTGACAAAGTGACAATTATGTTAATAATCTTTATAGGTGCTAACACAACACAGCGTCCCATCACGCCGAGCAGTCTGTCGCACCAAACATGGAGCGAAATATTATTGAACAAACGTTAACGAGCTGACATATGCGCTTCGCACCTTGTATATTACGTCGCTATATAACCGGGAATTGTAAGCACACAATCATCCATTCGTCTTGTAGTACAATTATCTACAACTTCATCCAGCATTCAGCTAGAAATACAAATTCAACAAAATGTCTGACGGAGAAGAAGATCAAACCGCCATCGTTTGCGACAATGGATCCGGATTGGTAAAATCTGGTTTTGCCGGAGATGATGCTCCAAGAGCTGTGTTTCCATCTATTGTAGGAAGACCAAGACATCAAGGTGTTATGGTAGGAATGGGACAGAAGGACAGCTACGTAGGAGACGAAGCACAAAGCAAGAGAGGAATCTTGACACTCAAATACCCAATTGAGCATGGCATTATCACCAATTGGGACGACATGGAAAAAATCTGGCATCATACTATGTACAACGAACTTCGAGTTGCTCCCGAGGAACACCCAACTCTTCTTACTGAGGCCCCACTCAATCCCAAAGCTAACCGAGAAAAGATGACTCAAATTATGTTTGAAACTTTCAATGTACCCGCAATGTACGTTGCTATTCAAGCTGTACTATCACTCTATGCTTCAGGAAGAACCACAGGTAAACATCAAAAAATAATTTCAATTCAGGTTGTAGGTTGGTCTTATAATTTATTCTTATCATCTCATTACTTCAATTAATTAATTAATTACTTGTATTTGAGTAATCTAGTCTTGTAGTTGATGTGCGTTTAAAATTTTCAATATTGACATTTCAGGTATTGTCATGGATTCTGGAGATGGTGTTTCACACAACGTACCAATCTACGAAGGTTATGCTCTTCCTCATGCCATCGCTCGTCTCGATTTGGCTGGTCGCGATCTCACTGATTACTTAATGAAAATTCTCACTGAAAGAGGATATTCTTTCGTCACAACCGCTGAACGTGAAATCGTTCGTGACATCAAAGAAAAATTGTGCTATGTCGCTCTTGACTTCGAACAAGAAATGGCAACTGCAGCCTCTTCAACTTCTTTAGAAAAGAGCTACGAACTGCCTGACGGACAAGTTATTACCATTGGAAACGAAAGATTCAGATGTCCCGAGACTCTTTTCCAACCATCATTTATAGGTAAGATAGGTTTTTATTGACTATAAACTTCATTTCATCCCCGTTGTGTGCAAAAAATCTATGCCTTATCTAAGTCTAAATTCCATCGCTATTATGGGCAAGTCAAAATAGATTTTAATATGGTGTTATTCATATATTTAAAAGTTATTGCCATGCCACAAATCGCACGAGGTTCGAGAAGCAGCCTATAAAAACATGGCCCTAAACCAACTTGTAACACACATTTTTCCATTTCAGGAATGGAATCTGCTGGCATCCACGAAACAACTTACAACTCCATCATGAAATGCGACATCGATATCCGCAAGGACTTGTACGCCAACAACGTTCTCTCTGGGGGTACCACCATGTACCCAGGTATTGCTGATCGTATGCAAAAAGAAATTACAGCTCTTGCACCAAGCACAATGAAAATCAAGATCATCGCACCACCAGAAAGAAAATATTCTGTTTGGATTGGAGGATCAATTTTGGCTTCTCTCTCAACCTTCCAACAAATGTGGATCTCGAAACAAGAATATGACGAAGCTGGTCCATCAATTGTTCACAGAAAATGTTTTTAATTTTCCTATTTTCAATTTAATTTCATCAATATTAGACTAATTTTTCAGTTTTTAAAATTCGGTATTTAAACAAATAAACACAAACCTTGCATTTTATTGTGTTGTATATTCCAGTACAGCTCACTAGTCGTTTTTGAACTATAGCTCATGGTCGTTAGACACCACGAAGCACAGCAGCTACTTCCAAGCGTCATACAAGCAGTGGTGGGATTCAGCCTGTTCACACCGGTTCTGTAGAACCGTCTCACGGAATTTTTTGAGATCAGCGAACCGGTTAGCATTACTAGTTATTGTCAATGACTTTTTGTAACAGAACCGGCTGAAAGAAATGTGACTTTTGTGATGGAACCGGCTGACAAAAAAATTGAATCCCACTACTGCATGCATGTATAACCTCGATTGCCATATCGTCATCTCGGGCGTGCTAACGAAATAGAGTACCTGTCCATGCTAGATCAAAGATTAAAGGTAGTAACCAATGTTCGTGATTTGGCACATGCAACTGAGAAAGATCAATACCTGTGTTTCCCGGATTTCGTAATTACAAGCTTTTTGAGCGCCAGTCAGGTCACTGCCCTTAATCCAGCGGTTCCCAAACTTTTTTTTTACGACCTCAATTTTCATAAGATTAAAGCCTACAAATACTCACGACCCCGCAAATAGAAAACGTTCAGCTATCTCAAAATATATCAGTTCAATTGCTTCAACGTGAACAGTGTACCTGTTTATCGACTGCAAGTGGACATTGACGGTGAACATTGTCTCAAAAAAATATACGAAGACGTCCGGCAATACGCCGGAAAACGGGGACACCTCAAAATATTTGAAAACACATGGCATCGTATGAAAACCATGGTGTAAAAAATCTCTTAGATCAGTATTATAACGGTTCCTTAGCGAAACGAATAGTCCGGCAGAATCAGGACTTAACATTGTTTTGGGACATAAAGTTTTTTTTATTGTTTAGATATAATGTATATGACATATATAATGATACCCAGGTGGGTGTGGAGTATATAATGTTGAGCAATTTTTTTTAAGTGGATTTAAAGTATTCGGTCCAAGATGACGCACATCCTGAAACCTAACCTGGTAAACATACAATGTTCAGGTTGTGCGCCATCTTGGTACGAATACTTCAGGAGCGCCTTTTTGTTAAAAACAAATATTTCATAACTACATGGTTTAGTTTTGCATACATAGTAACATTGGATCTCCTTACAATGTCAGAAATTCAATTTTAGTAGAATAAATGGTAGTTTATTTTACTAATACAAGCCAAGATCCATCGACAGCATCTAGCCACTTTCTATTGCGCTCTTCAAACCACATTTGCGTTGCCGCGCGCATTTCGTTTTCCTAGTTTAAGCTTAGGGACTTGGGAAATATTTTATTAGTTGAATTGGATTGGAATATTTGACCTCGTTTTTCACTCCGAATAAGGCCATGTAAAACCGTCCACTGGTATCTAAAGATGTGTAACGTGTTTTCTTTTGGTGCCTTCCAGTGCTGCATTGACTTTGGCAAAATTAATATATCCTTGTGGAGATAGAAGGTATGCGTATGCGAAACCGAGATGTGCACCTGTTATGCCAACATAGTTGAGTCAAACGTTTTGAATACTAATACATCACACACATTTTCCTGCGTGCTTCGGTTGTACGTAGTAACGCGCACATTTTTGCGCACATGCATCAAATTCCACTTGATTATTGAGCTATAGGTTTTTGACGAGCTTTTGTGTATGATTTCATTCCATAGAATTTGTATGCTGTTTTAGAGAATACTAGTTTCAGCTTTTTCATTCTCTTAAACCGCGTGTTGAAAGTAAGTTTTGTAATATTGCGTGTTGGTTTCCAACATCCTTGAATCGGTGATGCCAGTTAATCTTTAATACAAAAAGATCAGTATCATCTGCAATAAAAACAGCAGTACCCACTCAAATGACAGCTGGGGGATGGATACTCTTGGTATCTGCTCCATCGCGTGCCTCTTACAGTCTTACCAGTTTACATGAGTGTCAATTGGTATCTAAGCTCAGCCAGAGACAAAAAGTTTTGGACTGCAGTTGGCGTGACGAAATGTTTTTAAATATATATTCAACAATAAGATTATTTGATTGCATACTACTGAAAGTTCCGCCTTATATGTCTTTTCCCATTGCACTATTCCTTTACTGATATTCGATAATATGACGCTCATCTGACATAGTTCTTAAAGTGTGTGAATGGGTAAAATCTTTTGCACGCTGTTCAGATGGGAATACGCGAATATATATAAGAATTGCTAATATTGGTTTGCAATGCGATGAAATCCCATCTTGGCATTTCTGCCTCTCGCAATTGCTGCGTATACTTATCGGGGAAGTTCTGTGGCGTGGTTATCAAATGAAAAAAAAACATGGGAGAATTTTTTCTACTTCTCTACTACCATCAAACCTTGACATTTTGTGAAAACTTTTTTCCATGCAACCTTTTTTAAAACATCCCCAACAACCACAATTAATTCTGTTATTAAACTTCCGAAACAAACACATAAAATCATCAACAGATGCATATCACCAAGTAGATATTGCTGAATTGATCTTTATTTTACCATTTTTCATGTAATTCTTTTTGGTAAACTTGTTATCTATCGTAAATACAGCACATTTGACAATGCTGTAGTGTGACTATTTTGGCCTCACATTTTTGATATTTGTAGTTAGAGCTCTTGGGGCTCTGTCAAACAAAGTTACATGCAAAATATTGGTTGTAAATTGCAAAACATGATCATGTTGTTGGAATAACTTGGCATTTTACCACCCGTATATCATTCATTGTTGAGAATATTAATAAAATCATAAAATTTAAAAATTCGTTTTCGTGAAATTTTTGTTGTAGCTGAATTCCAGGTACAGCATGACAACAGGCAAGAGAGGCACGGTCGCCTCTTTTTGTTTATGACAGGGTTTCTTAAAAAGGGACCCCGTCATCCTTGGAGGCCGTTGATCGGTTATCTGGGAGCACGAACAAACAGATGGAAATGCGAATTTATAATAACAATGTATTTTTATAGAAGAGAAGAAGCAAAAGTGTTGAGAGTCTTTGGTAGTTTGAAAAGCATTGGCATGGAACATAAGAATGAACTACATTCTTTCCCATGGATATACTATAAAATGTAGCAATTTTCTCATTCTTGTTCTCGTGATATCATTATCTTTCACTGCGTCGTCGCGATCATCCGCTGCATAACAATTCTCGCTAACAAATAATTGACTGTTCTCCACCGGGTGTATATCCACTTGAACCACTGGCGACTGCATTAGCAGGCTTGTATTGTTAATTGCAACAAAAACGGATATTTTGAAATAGTACTCTTTATTTTACGCGTATGTTTCGACAGTATTTCCATATACTGTATATGGGTCGCGACCTAAAGCTGGGCTCAACAAATACCTGAAAGTTATTGATTTTATTTCCTAGTAAATTTGGTGCTTTCGTAGTTTGTGCACCAAGATTGCGCACAACCTGAACATAGTATTGTAACAGGTTATGGTTCAGGATGTGCGTCATTATGATGCACATGTTTGACGAAAAACACTAATACAAATATCTCAATAAATACCTAAAAGTTATTGATTTTATTTCCTAGTAAATTTGGTGCTTGCGTAGTTTGTGCACCAAGATTGCGCACAACCTGAACATATTATTGTAACAGGTTATGTTTCAGGTTGTGCCTCATCGTGATACACAGGTTTGACGAAAAACACTAATACAAATATCGAGCCGTAAAAAAAATTGCTTAAGGCTGCAAACTCCACACCCATGTAGAAATGATGGGCAACCCCAGGATGAATAATCACAAATAAAAAAAAAACTTTATGTCTGAAATCAAACTTGGGCCAAAAAGGTCCCTTTATCTGTCGGACTAGAAGACGCCCTTGATAAAATTTAGTAGATTGCAAGGAAGTGTAAGATACTTCGGAAATATCAAGATTGCTTCTAAATATATATAATTTTAAAATCTTATTTGGCATATTCCAAACGTGTCCAAAAGTAAAACAGAGCATGAAAGTAAAATTGGAAAAAATTTATTATGCTAGAACTTGTTGTGGTTATGTGTTTGACAGCTTGGGACGCTTCGAAATTATGTAGAAACGTCTAAATACGATAATATCGCAATACGAAAATGTTCACTTTTTTATGTGGGGGCGATGTGGACAACAACACGTAGCCTACTCACAGATTTTAGACACGTGCGTAAATTAACAAAGCGCTTTCACAACTGATCGAAACCTAAAGTGTAATTACTCGGCCAAGACACCACATGGCAATCAATAGCATACTTGTCAAACACCAAGTTGAAGGCCAATCGCAGAATGAAGCAACTTTGCTTTGTATATTCGATAACCAACCGGCTACACTAGCACAAAATAACAAACCAACATAATTTCTCGCATCCTGGCCAAAAATCCGATTCGCGTACTAGCGGTTCAACTACTGGGATGTAACATGATCAAAAAAACTATAATAGGGAAAATATGATTGGGGCTCGTAACACTGTCACTCAATTACATTGACTAATACCGATACCTGCCGACCAGAAAGGTTAAGTACCACATGAAAGTTTTATTGATCAATTTTGGCGCCGTTTGGACAATAAATGGTCGAATTATTGCTGAAAAAACGCTGTTAGGCAATTTTACGATACCTGCCGACCAAAACAAATTTAACTTTCCAACTTCCAAATCTTAGTCACTTGTGTGCGCATGTTTGACAGAAATTAGGCGACAACGAAAAATCTTCACGCGACCCACAGTTTGGGAACCACTGCTTTAATCGACTGTCGTTACCAAAAACAGGCCTTCAACATTGTAGGCTACTGACATACAACGAATCACCGTGAAATTGGAATAAACTGTAGCGTCTATGTACCAACAACACATAAATTAAAGCTATCTGTCACATGTATCAATAACGCTCCCAATCAATCGATCAGATAAAAGTCTGAAGACTACGTAACATGTTAAGCCGAATATCGTAATGCAGTTAGGCGTAATGTGTTATGAGCATGTGCTGGGCTAAGTATATTCGCCAGAAATATGATGTTTGGTTAAATAAGGAAAGTGAAGCGAAAATTAATAAAACTGAAAAGCATGGAGATTTTTTATAAACTAACGTTGATTACATCCATATGTCTTGCAAGAATTGGAATGGTGAGTCATACATTGAAAGATTATGCATAATTAAAATGAATTTAGGTTTACCCTACCGCTGCATCTAAAACCTGAGCCCGCAAAGTAAAAGTGATAGTGTTATCATATGGGGAAATATAATATATAATGGCAAAAATGCATTCCAGGCCATAAGTGATTAAGAGTGTGAATATATCATTCCACAACAACGCATTTGTCCCTTTTCCCTAATTATTCACTAGCTTAACGATTGTTTGTTGGATCTCAGGTACACCAGTACTCCTCTAGAACGGCAACATTAGCCTTACCACTTGTGTAAAAACTACCCATGTTGGTATATACACATGGAATTCCTGATTTGGGTTGGAATCCCAATTTCAATATTTAGCTTAAATACAGTATTTTGGCCTAGCCAATCGTGATTATAAAGAATTAACACAGTTTATACATGCTATAGCGCATTGTCTGCGACCCATTTTAGCGCAAGGTCATAAAATGCAATGCAAGCAAGTAAATTGATTTATACTTTTATAATATCAGTTATGCTATTTTTTTAATATCCCTAGTTATTGTTTTCTCATTTATTCAGGGAGCTTTTCAATCAATATTCGGTCCAACGTTACTTTACTTAGCCGATAAAGTTGATTCAAGTGTAACGAACATTTCAATGATAACGTCTGGAAAATCAATTGGGCGTTTGTTCGGGTCTGTTATCGGAGCAATCCTAAAAAATATGACTGGTTCAGACTTCAAGCACTTACTTCTGCACGGTAAGAACTACTTAATATAGTATGATCAATTTGCAACTAAAAAAACGTTCATACAAAAAGATTTGCGGTTAGCAGAGTTAATATAAGAAAACCCGCGAATTTAAAAAAAATATTACATCTATTCAAAATTTCGTACATGCCTAACATAAATAAGTCTACCGAATGACCATGATCTTACTTTAAATAGTTGAGAAAAGCTATTATGAAAGAGATATATTTGGATTATTTGACAAGTTGGTGATGAAATTAATATAATATGTTACAGGTGGAGGATTCTTTATTCTTGGAGTTTTATATCTATCCATACCATGGATTAACAACTATTGGCTTCTTGCTGTGAACTATATAATCGCAGGAATTTTCTTTGGATATCTCTCAACAAGTAAAACTATTTTTAATATCGTAAATAATGTTCTAATTAGGTCATTCTGAATCCAATATACTTCTGCTCTTCATAAAGAAAAACGCCATCTCAATTATTTCTTGATATTTTGTATAATTTTATTTTGGGGTGAAATATTGAGTCGCACGGGACCTGAGAGGAAAAATGAATATCCTCTAAAGACCTTCTCCCCTTTTTTAGTTCTGGATATTTGAGATCGAATAAACCAATATTTGTCGAACAAAATCTATTTTTACAACAACAACAACCCCCAAAATCCCCAGCAGAAAAACTATCAACAACAATTTTGCAATACAATCCACAGGACCAGTTTGTGTTCAATGATATTACATCTAGTAATTGCTTCCCATTCCGGTTCGAGTGCGCAGTCTCTTCACGTTTTCGTGCTGATTCATATCTCATTTTTAACTGTTGAATTCGAAGCATTATTTGTTACTATATAAATATTTTCGCCCTTTTCACGTGAGTAGTTTTTCATATAGAACCTATTTCACGCAGGTCTACAAGCATTCGTATTACAGACTTGGGGAGCAAAATCATCAGCAACACATATACAACTCTACCATTTAATGTACACCGTCGGAGCAATTGTGACACCTCTTATGGGTAACTATTGTAATCCGTTTTATTGCATGTAATAAAACAACTTTATGCAACAAATTATCCATTACGGTATGGAAATTGGTACATGATGACAAATAATCAGTGGAAGTGTTTGGAGCGTCTAAAAATGGAACTTTTTATGGTATATCGGCATTCAAAGAAGGGATTATGTCTTTGAAAAAAAGTCGTTCTCATAAAATACGTAATTGTTAAAGTATTAAAGTTGGTTTCTTTTTTAAAAACTTCAACGATAATTTTTTCCCCCCAAGAACCTACATTTTCAAATTTCCTTTTGCTTTGATATTTTCCTGGCAGCACGAGTTTGACAGCACTGTTTCGAGTTCTGGTTTAATCGCTCCTCTAATGTGAACTTATGAATAGCTCTTCGCGCGCCGGGGATTACTAACAACTCTCCAATTAGTATCCGAAGCTCGGAACCTTTATAGAAGCAAAAATATATGATAAAGTATTGCATTACTTTACTTTAGCTGAGCCTTTCTTGAAAGGGTCGAGTAAAACTAAGCCGGCGGAGGACAGCTGTCCGAACTCCATAATCAACATATCCATAATTACGACGTCTGCACCGAATACCAGCACGACCAGCTCGTTACCAGTAAGTTTATAATGTTCTTATGTCAAATACATTTGAGATATTTGTTATGATTCGTATTTGTTTGTTCGCATGGATTGCAATTTTATATTTATTTTATCTTGTGAAGCAATTATACTTTTGAATGGACTACCATAAATTTTTATAATAGTAATTAATATAATATATAGTAAATACTGATTTGAGCACCATAGTGTTAGGAGCATGTATAATAAATCAAAGAGTAATGAATCAAGAGTATGTATGGGGGTCAAAAAATATCAATCCAATTTGTATCACACTGACTTGTTACACTTTCTGATACATCACATTGTCATGTATCTGTTCATTAGTTTGAATATAAAAATTTCCCATTGTTTTATACAGGCTGGTTTCGACCAAACTGGTATGGCTTATATAATCGTCGCATCATACCTATTTTTCATATCAATTTTGTTTGCGGTTATATCTATAACAAGTATTCCAGGTAAGTAACTATACGTTGAGTCACAACACAATATTCAAACTGATACTCGGTATTATATCTCATTCAAGATGAACTTAGAATTTCAGAATAGAATTTCCCATATTTATTCCGGGGGAGGAAAAAGACAAAACGATTTCATCAGATGTCCTCTGGCCAAGTTACTATTCCATGTAGTGTATGGGAATAGTTATTTTAGGGGGGGTCAGATGAATGGACTAAAAGTCGGGGGTAGGAGTAAACGACCAACAGTTAAAGCCGTCTTTAGCCGTAATTATCCATATCGATCAAGGACGTCACATATTTTTTTTGAAAGGCCCTAATAAACGTATTTTGCAATATTCACTCAATTTATTTTTCAAGTGACGTGTTAATGATGTTGATTAGCTCGCAATTTATGCCATTGCAGCTTCTAATTTAGAATCGCGCTACTGCAAATTTACTCAAACGACACATTGGTACACAAATTTTACATTGTGTAATTATATATTTTTCAAGATAAAGTAAGGGCCAGCATTAGTGACCGTGGATATACAGCTGAACAAAGGATGGTGGAACCATTTCGGAATCTAATTTGGTTCTTTTTATGTGTAATCGGGTATTTTTGTTTCATTGTGTCGGATTCTGGATTGTTTGAAAACTACATATACGCGGTTGCTCTATGTTCCGAATTGAGTTTTTCGGTGAGTAAATCAGAAATATTTTACATAATTGAACACTCAAATAAAACTTATGTGTTTTGTTATCATTCACATTGCTTACGTGACATTTTTTCAAACGAATGCAAATTGTTTGCATAATGTATATATGGGATCTAAAGTCAGTTTGCTATTTCATATATCTCATGAGGTTATACCGATAATTTAACAAAAGGTCTAGTTGTGGTTTGACGATTTGGTCAAGAGTCCGATTACATATATGTTTTTAAAGTTGTACACCACACGCCTGGGAGTGTAAAAAAAATTAGAAATTTTTTATTACAGTCAATATTCTGGATAGAACATATATACATTTATTAAAGATATATTTAGCTCTCATTTATGAAAATTTTTAACAATTATTTCCAGGTTAGTCAAGCCGCACAAATCGGTTCTGTTTTCTTCATCGGAAATGGATTGGGTAGAATGAGCGGGGTCATTGTATCTAACTTTGTAAAACCAAGAAATATTATTTTGTTTGGTGTATTTGGAAGCATTATTATTATGGTGAGATCTCGTTTTATCTTTATTTTCTAAAACGGATGCTTTCTCTCGTTCTCCTAAGTGCACACTTTTACTCGTCTTTTACACTTCAGGTATTGATGTCCATCATGGGTCAGAGTCTGCCTTGGATAACATGGATCGTTTCAGTCGGTCTTGGATATACAACATCGATGCTGTTTCCCGCAGGTTAGTGGAGTTTGAATAATAAGCAAGTTACAGGCCGGACAAAGAAGCGTTAAAGAGAATTTTAAATGCACAGTATTTCACTAATTCGACTTACTTGCAACTTATTACAACCGACATCCGACTTGTCACTGTTGTCAGTGATTTTGACACTATTTGCCAACTCTTTTATTGACAACCTTGGGACACCATTAACAATAATCATTGCGAACCTTTTTTAATTCAAAATGGCGGTGAAAAGCTAATCACATCGACACCAACTACCGAAAATAAGAAAATGTCGGACTCGAGTACTATAGAAAGCTCATTGACTCTCCATGTTTAATTCTATTTGATACAGGAGTGTCGTGGGTTTCGGAGATAACAGACATATCCGGAAAATATATGTTTGTGCCAGAGGTAGGGAATGCAATTGGAAATTTAGTAATGACACCTGTTGGAGGCTACATTTTCGACATTGACCCCTTTAGTGTGGTGAGTGAAACTCGATCGTTAGGTCGCTAGTGCCAGATTAAATATATTGAACTAAAGTTTTCGTATGGCTTTAGACTTACAATCAATCACATGTTAACATAATTAATATATATAGATCGATTTTTTTTGCTTGTCAAGTAGCCTATAGTATATACTTATTTGTCTCGTAGACATTATCTCATTTAATTTAGGATCTCCTTTATTAAAAATATTTGAACAAAAACGTTCCTCGTAAACATCCATAGCTTAGGCATTCATTATTTTTTGCAGCTTAAGCCAAACGATGAGATTAATACCTCATTCCGAATATAGAATCTTTGAGTTTCAATAGCTCACTTTCTACATTGTTTGAATCGCCACACCTTGAATGGCTTCAACTTTTACAAAATTGTTTTAGGTATACATGATTCTCGGTGCCTGTGTTGTTACTGCTATAATGTTTGCATTCGCCCTGTGCTATGGTCACCTACATAAGGCAGCAGTTGTGGCCAGAGCAAATGTGGAAATAGAGAATGGGAATAACTGTACTACTTACGGTACTTTTGTTGCGGAGACTGATCAACAAATTAGTGGAGATATATCATGATTTTTCAAAAAAATGGATTCATAATTTTTTCCAAGTATATATATTGCAAAAATTTAATGAAACATAAACGAGAATATCGGTCAGAGACCGAAGACTTATCGATCGAAAGTTAGGAGATCCCTAAAAACAGGGCTCTTACTCGCTAATTATACGACATAATTCACCCAAAATCAATAGGCTTCTGGTCCCACATATGATGAATGCACATGCAAAATCTGGAGCAGATTCGATCTCGCTTTCGTGATCTATCGCGTGCATCTAACAGACAAACAGACAGACAGACAGACAGACAACTACCTATCAACATACTTACCGATTAAAATCGATAAGTAACAAAATTTATTTTTAAAATTTTTTAATATAAACATCAATTTATACAATTGTTTAGCAGTTTTATTTTATTTTCGAAAATGGTTGAGAATTTATTTATCGACAATCAAAACTAGGTAGTTTGACTGAAACAAACTCATGTCGGTAGATATGGCTTGGCAGATCGAGGTTACAGAAAGCAAAACACATCACAAACAAAACCACAAAAACATCTTACAGTTAATGACACCCTGAATGCCGACATGTTTTATGGCGATACTTGCTGAAAACTTGAGATTGACTTGATTGTCTCTAAACTATCAAATTTTTTTCTTATCCGATTTGCGTCAAGAATAACATTCTTGGGACAGTAGAATCGTCTCAGTTTTGTCTGAAGTAACAACATGATTAGCATGGTACCTCGATGCATGTTTATTTCGTATAATTGAGTTTCGTTTAAGGTATGATTTACATATTACAACCTTTTATTTTCTTTTAACAAAAATAAGATTCAAGACCAAAAGCCGATTGTCATTGAGACCCGACCACAAAGATATTGGTGTGCGGGCAATTAGTCCATCGATTTTTTGAAAACATTTTAGGTTTATACATATAAAAAGTTGTGAGATAGATGTCTGTATATTTTGGTTATTTTCTGGGTATCGAATGTAGCAATTGTTGTTGATCTATTTTCAGAGGTAACTCTGATCGACAGATGAACTGCTACCGATACAAAAATGTCATAAAAAACTACAAATCTGGATTTACACAAACTGTCAAATTACCATTTGAAAACAAACCATAGTTAAATTCGAGGTTGAAAATAATTATCAATATATAATACATATATATACCATAGGCTCATTCATCTTTGTCTATATATAAAGTTTCTTGAACACGTGAAAGTGCACATATGGAAGTACATGTGTGAATTGGCAATTGTTCAAATTTACAATTAAATTCCATTTTATTATGCATGCAATTATCATGCGTGTAGCACAGTATTTTGCGTTGGTTATATAAACTGTGTCAATAATGAGGTCAAAATACGGCATGTTTGAGCATTTTTCGCTCATTTTGATCCAAAACAAACCAGCAAATCGTCCAAATTAGGTGTATTTTATTGATCATCTCGTTATAAGAGTTTTCATTCGCAATTGCCACTTTCCAATAGCACAAATCTACTGCCTTTTATCATTATTTGAACATTAAGTTTGTGGTGCTGTTGGTCTGTCAATACTTCTAGATTCCAGAAGGTACCATTTGCGTCTTTTCATTTTGCCATATCAGGTCCATATCATTCCAGTTAACCACAATTCCCATTTCCACAGGATATTTTAAATTAGGTTTCGATCTTCTGGTGTTTGCATCTTTTCCATTCAATACTTCCTGAACGCTAGTAGGTGATTTTGAAATTACATCATTTTTCTTGTCTTCCGCGTTTTGTTTTTGATTTAAATGAAATTCGGCGTCCATTATGGCAGAATCAACGAAAAGTATGAAACGCAAGAGAAATTTGTTTGAAAATTGTTCTAATTTTGATTAAACAATTTTATAGCAAATGATAAGTCTATATAGACTAGAATATTGAAGAATCACAAAGTAATGTATAAAATTGATAAAATTAAAAACTTATTTAGATTAGGATGTTACACAATTCGATAATACGATTAAATATATTTGTATATATACATAAACTGCAAATTGAATCTATACCAACATACTATGAACATACATGCGCCAAGCGTGGTTCATGTAAATCATCAGCACTGCACTTTAACAACGCATTTAATCGTAGCCACACAAACATTAGCAATTCATGATCAGATTATGAAATTTTTTGCCTATTATTTTTTTCTTATTCAAAATGTGATTATAAGAAAAGTGAATTGGTATTAATTGGTACGCGTCACGAACAGAGCGAAAAATAGATTCGTCGTTTTCTATTAATTGCGCACACCGTGACGTCGATTGAAATATATATTTATAAAGGTACGTTTGACCAATCATTGGTTTGACAAAGTACTGTACATATTAAAAAGTTTGTGAAAATGCTTGTGTCAGTGAATCAATTAACGTTACAAGCCAAATAACGTGAAAACGGCCGAAGCTCAAGTAATGTGCTTTCATTTCAAGCATTCCAACAATGAAAATATTGAAGGATAGAGTTTATACACCATGTTGTGAAATCAAAACAAAATGACTAGCGTTGTCATTGCATACTGTCGTTTAATCATGCTGACTATGGCTGTTTGAAACTCGTAGCATAATTGTACACAAACTACATCGCAGAGACAGCTAGGATATTTTTGCATTTTCTATATATCACAAACAAATATTTTCAGGCATTCTATACTATCCTAAATCCGTTAAAGTAGATATATCAGGAACCTTCATTGTTGTTGAACAAATCACTGACCCCTTTCCTTTGAAGCACTATTTTATTGAACAGAACCATTAGTGCAAAAACGCTACCCTAAAACTGCTTTTATAAATAACGTTATACCCTCATTACTCTGTCAGATGCAATAAGCAATCATTATTGCTTTAATATAGTTGGCAGAACTTATCAATAGATTCAATCAGACCACAAACGAAGCACGTTTTTCTCGTCCAAACTGAAAGGTAATCAATCACGCATAACACATTTCTGCTCACCTGATGACGATTATTTATAAATTTATATCGATTAACCGTCGTTTCTTTACCGACAAGAAATGTAATGATAGAATCATTACGTCTCAATAACGTCAATAATGTTTTTAGAAACAGAATTTACTGAATATCTTTCTCTTTTAAAGTGTAGAAAAAATTCCTTGTTCCAGATCAACTTTCACTGCCTCCAAGTTTATAGCCACGAATTATAATAAATATACATGCAAAGGTTTGTGGTAGAAACACTTTTCAAGTAGCAATTAAAATACAAAGTCGTGCTCATCGATATAGCCTTGGGCAGTATCATGCGCTTGTCGGTGAGCTGATAATTATTTCCTGTGATTTCATTGGTATCATTACGATTGTTGATTTCTAATTTTATGAAGCAACATTGCAGAAACTACGTGGCAGACCATGTTTAAGATGTGTTTTTATATGTATAAATGTTTTCTAGCAAAAATTTAAACGAGAATATCGGTCAGAGACCGAAGACTTATCGATCGAAAGTTAGGGGGTTCCCCAAAACAGCGCTCTTACTCCATAGTGACACCTTGTGTCCCATCACTAATTAATTAATGTCTCGCTAATTATACGACATAATTCATCCAAAATCAATAGACTTCTGATCCGAGAACAACATCTATAGTTTGTTTATTACTCAAAATGTTTTTGAATTTAGGTATAAGGGACAGCATTATCAGAAACTCGCCCCTGGCAGCTACAAAGTTTGACACACCACGTGACGTGGGAGTGATGTTTGTCAACGAACTAGGTTGTTGATCTTCGCAAACAAGACAGAAATCCGGGAAAAGTTACAAAAAAAAAATTCCAGAGCGACTATATGATTTATTTATTATAAATCTGACCTACGCAATAGGTAATTAAACTTCCTATTATAGAAAATGCAGCAAGCGTGTACACATGATTCATTATTCCGGGTGAAATATCAATTTTCTTGGCCGAGAAGCTTTAAAATGTCCCCAATTCAAACTTGCCATTTTTTACGAAGAAACAATATGAGTTCCTGTTATTTTATGATGTCGCTGACTTGATGACTTTGATAGTCTTTTCGCGACCACTTGTCCATTGCAGTTGGAACATTTTTTCGATGAATATATTCAATTTATCATTTTTTGTTTATATGTACAATGTTTATTGCATGACGAATTGGTTATTTGGAATATTTAAACCAGTTTGCATAAACCAACCTGCAAAAACACTTGTAGACAAAATTTTACAATGGTTAAGTATAAAAAGAATTTGCCGAGTTGGGGGCTCGCAAAGACATCCACAATCGATATTTATGCTCCTAATGGAAGAAAGAAATTTTAAAACGCAGTCAGGTTGAGCCGAATTTTCATCACAGTTGGCCAAAACATAAATGTTACATGTCATTATTATGCACTGTCTCTGGCCAATGACATTAAACACCATTGCTCTGGCCAAGAAACATACCTAAACCGTAAATAAATAAATACTAATGACTGAACGCACTTATCCGAAGGCATGGCATTTTTGACGTCGTGACATTCTCGGCATGCCACTATCAATTTGACAAGTATTTGCATAACTTACGTATCTCTCGCATTGTTAACGCATTTGTCGGATTGTTTGGCTGCTACGTTGTTTCGTGTTCGTCCAAAACATCTTGCAGGCGCTGCGCTGGAGACGGTGCTGCATGGGAGAAAAAGGCTTTCTGGCCTTATTCGCAACAAGTCAGTATTTATGTAAAATTAAGATCAATAAACATAAGCTAATACCGTAACGCAATTATGTTAACGTTTGAATAATTTAGCCTTCAGACTTTGTTATGCTCTGTTTATTTATTCTAATTGATATTTCTCGTGTTATACCAGTATACGGGTACCTGTGTTTGTTACTCCTTTAGAGTGTAATTAATGAGTTCATGAAATTTTTTGGGGTCAGTGACAGTCTGACAGAGTGCAGTAGTTAATTCTGTAATTGGTCAAAACTTTTTAGATTCTGGAGTGGGCGCATAAATCAGTAGATATTGTTGGCGCATGTTCACTAAACGATGTAAGTACTTCTATTTGGCGTGGCACAACCATTTTTGCATATGTTATTCCTAACTCCCACCTATCTGACTTCGTCATCCAAAGATTACGTCACTGCGACCTCACAATCACACCAAACACAGAAAGAGCTTGCCAAAGTATAGCTACAGAGCTAAGATCGCCTGAAATGGAATCTCCGCCAACGATAACGAACTCACCAGCGATCTCTCTCATATCATGATCGTTACGACAAGGAAACAAGAAAAGTACCAGAGTCTGTTTTGGGTGATCTGCGCAGTTAGTATAATTTGGAGGACTTTATTATGTTACTGTGACGTCATAGTGACATAATTTTTAAATGACATAGTCAGGTGGGGGTTAGGAATAACATATGCAAAAATTGTTGTGCCATGCCAACTAGAAGTACTTACTGACTTATGTCGTGTTATGAACATGGCCCATATTGTTTTAGCAGGGGTAGTAGCGAAGCCAGTATAATACTGTACTACTGTATGTTCGTGTCTCTTTTTATAGTACCTAATCCTTTTTTCTGTAGAGTGTATACCCCGAAAAACATAAAGCCCGTATAAAATCCAACCACAAGTAAAAAAATTGAGAAAATGGACTCTCGACAATGCAGTCAGAGTAATACATATATAATTATGCTAATCATCCACAGTGTTTTGTGTCTTTATGTATAAAAGAAGGAATTCAGAGCACAATTTTTTCATTGGTGTATGTTCAGATATGTGTTGTCAACAATTTTGTGGTCACAAATTCATTTAAGCTGGACAGCATGCGAGGTCACATTTGATGGTCTCTGCACAGCAGAGAAATATCTGTTGCTGAAGTGTGTGACTGCAAATCAGCTGTTCAACTGGTTCATTTAATCATTTGAGTGGTTAAATCGAATTTGAGCATTTTACAGCGTTTTGCTGTATATAGCGTTTTGCTATATTCAGTAATAAGTCAGTGTAAATCTAGTCCTACGTTCATTACAGTGTGAAGTTACAAGTTACAAACAAAATTTTTTGGGGTCAGTAATACCATAGCATACATGATCCAAGTGAGAGAAATTAGAAAGTCAATCCTAATTTGCTTATCAAATTCTATGTCATAATGTAATTGTATAAATCTAGTGTGCTTATGAAAAAGTTTTTCAGTATAGGCCTACTATATCATGTTTCTAATATTATTATTTTTTCGTTTTAGTGAGTTTTGTATTGAACTCTCTCACTCCAAAGTTTTATGTTGCATTGACTGGAACATCATCTGTTCTTTCTGGAATTATACTCGTAAGTTGCACTTCATTTGGATGTCACTGCTCTCAAAATCTTCAGTTTATGAAAAGCCAAGCAAAAATTATGAATCAGTATTTTGACTATGGCTTGGGCAGATTCCGCAATGTTTTATCAAATGGCATGACCTTGGCTTGCTCTTTCCTTGTTGGTTTATCTTTTCATATTACAAATTTCGATCATAAAAACGAGATTTGTCTGTTTATTTACAATTGAAATTCATATTTGCAGTGAAAGCATGGTTTGTTTTACAAATTTTTTTGAAGTTGAAGATTTTCAGTACATTTTATGTGTAATTGCTCCGTAATCTAAAGTGATTGAATGATACAGTTTCAGTTGGGATTCAGTATCGATAATAAGCTCCATTTGCATGTCATCCTCCGTAAAGAACATCAATGCTTAATTGGTAAATTTTCTCTGGGAGATATATCTTTGTCAACATGAACTGTAAAACGGTTTTATAACATTCATTCTCATTTTCACTAATATGGGTGTCATTTATGTGAGCCATACCTGGAAACTTTTTTGTTTTTATTGTTGTTTGACTATGAAATTTATTTTTTTCAGGTTTTTGAATGGTGGTACTTTAGAAAATATGGAGCCTCATTCATTGAACAAGTTTCAGTTCATCATTTGGGACCATTGCTTGGTGGATCTGAAACCGACACAACATCTGCCGCTGCTGCTATAGATAAGCAAAGTAAATGATTTGGTATTTAAAAATTCCTAACAGTCAGAGGTGCAAATGTAAGGGATCAAGGCCACGAGTATTGCTTGCTCACACCCTTACCCAGTTGCTTTGGTGTGGAGGTCACTTGTTGTATATCCTGAGAAAAACCTCAGTAGGATCAAAAACTCATTTTTTAAATTTGTATGAGTATTTTTATGCTCGCGCATTTCTTGCGCAAGGACACAAGGAATGCTCTAAGTACCTGATGCACCCTTGCACCAATGTCCCGATGTATATGTAAATAGTGAACATGCATAAATAACATAGGTAATTTAGTATAGGATAGTAATTTAGTAACTTTCTTCTTGAACTGAAAAATGTTTGAGAATCCATATGACTGAAAATCACATCATGGGCATTGCGTTAACACAAGAAATATATATTTTTTAATAAACTACTCTTGAATTTCATAACACCTAAATTATTAATTATCCTGAACTGGTAATAATTAAAACTTGAGCCATTTCTGGAAATTTCATTTCTCCTTGTTAGAGTAATAATATAATTCACTGCATTATTATAACCAAATTAACTTATTTCACATTGTAAGGTTTTGAAAAAATCACATTTTTGTGATTTTCAGATCTGTACAGTGAAACCTAAATATGGACATAATGCACTGCCTCAAATCGAAACTAAAACAGGTACAGCTTTCAAACCCAGACCTAATGGTGGCTCTTGGTTCATAGTGACAGAAGAAGAAGTCCATCTCTGTGAAATGTGACAAAAGCCACTTTGGTTTCACTGTGGCAATGTATTCAGCATTTGAATAGTTAGTCCCACAGAAACCGAATCGACTGCTGTTCAATATCTTTGTTTTACAATCAATTAGTAAAATCTATTGTACTTATTTCAGAATGTAAAGTGTGGCGAAATCCACTAAATCTACTGCGGGGAGCGGAGTATAATCGGTAATATTGATTATAATTTTAAACCTCATATTATAATTATTTGCCTAGTAATACTTGTCCCAATGCTGTAATATTTATTTTAGGTGTGATAAATTACCTATACTATTTTTTTAAAAATTTGATATTTGAAGTTCAATTAAAGAAGTTCATCTTAAATGATATTAATGATTTAAAATTCACATAGGCTATAATTATTTCAATTATAAAGGAACTCAATTTTTTGGTTTTTCCTAAATTAAAAAGTTGTTTAAGGATTAAGAAAATGACTTGAGAATGAACTGAGGAACAAATTTTTTCTCCTATATTTCAACTGTGATTTTTATTGCTTGTAGGGTTACATTTTTCTCATCAATGTTGTGACATGTTTGTATGGACAGCTAATAGCCTCATACAGAGGAGACAAGCAAATCGCAATTTTACTTATTACTGTATAATTATCGTGTAATTTCCTGCAGGTATCATTGGGTTACTGGAATAGAACCTCTTACATATTATGATATGAATTTATCTGCCCAAGATCACCAAACTTTTTTTACGTGTGATACGGACCATCTTAGACCGGCTGACACAAGTAAGTTTTTATATTGTTTTTAGGTCCGCTAGCAAAACAAAAGTTTCTCCCAACTGCTTGCAAGCTAATTAAATTTAAAAACCAGAGATTTTTTGTGTTTGATATCTACTTTTCAATGGCAATTGTATTCAAAAAGTATTATATCCCAATTTATATTGCTGAAATAAAAATGTATATAATATATATACAAGCATTCAGCGATAGTATATTATTTGGTTGAGGCTATGTCCTATTTAAGTCTCAATGTTTGAGGTAAGTCACTTGTTGTTTGGTTTCAAGCACCCTATTTCATTAATCTACTACTAATCAAAACATTGACAATATACAATATATATTTATTTATCAAAATTCATAAAATTAATTTTTAACAGTTATGCAGAAAGCATGGCGTGAACGTAATCCCAAAGCTCGAATAACAGCTGCTCACCAAGCGTTAGAAGTTGAAACTGAGTAAGCATTTTTAATTTCTATTGATAAAACGGAAGTTACAAGCAAACTTCCCTCAATTCAGTGTGTGGCTGCTGTTGAATGGCAAGTCATATGCTGAGAAAGCAAACTACTACTAGGGCTGTCTGCTACTTTATTACTAAGCTCAACTATTTTATAATATAAATTTTCTGCTACTTGCCTTCGTTTAAAAGCTGCCCAAGTTGTAGTGGTTTTACTGGTGGAATAATTTCAAAGTTGAAATGACAAAAAAATTTTCTAAGCGCCGGTTTAAAACATATATAGCATTTTCTATATTCAAAATAGATTGAAATAAAAGTCAGGGATGTCAAGCGAATCGGATATTTTAATCCATTCGGAATTGTTCATATTCTATTTATATATAATTTATTCCACATTTGAAAATGAATTGGACTATCTCAATATGAAAATTTATCATTTTTTGCATTTTAACATTTGTTGATCATGGTAACTTTAGTTCAGTTGAACTTCTGAATTTGCAAAATGGGAACATCAATTAAAATTTGGGTTTATCTTGAACTTGAGACAATTTCAAAATGTTAGAATATATTTAATACTTTATATTTAAAAATATTATTATTAAATAGTTCCTTTTGGTTATCCCTAATACAAGTAATTTAACATCTTGCTCTGTGTTCTGTGATTAACAAATAATGAGCTCAATATGCACATATACTTGCAATGCACGTTGCTTAATAATGTACTTCTTAAATAGCAGGTGTTTAACTAAATCAATAATTGATGTTTAGAATACTTCATCTTTGTTTACCTTGTGATTATAATACTTTGATTGATCAATAATACTACATGCATTGTTGCTTTAGGAACTTGCAAAGAGCTGAGACTGCCATTTCTGAATATCTTGATAGACATATATTTCCTGTGTGTTTTCTGTTTTTCATTCTCGAAGTTTTTTACATTTAAACATAAAACGACTTTTTATTATTACTCTGGTTTTTAAAGTGACCCAATTATGGACTTTTCATAATATTTATTTTTTCGATCTTAACTGAATCTTTCAATAACACTTACTTACTACCCTACTCTTATATCCATTTTTCCTTCATATGATTTTTTATATGTTCTTATATTTATTTTTTCTATATTTCAGTTGTGCTACTGCTTTGATATTACTAGGTGAAGAAGAATGTACAACAATACTTGAGGTAAGCTTATTGTATTGAGTTTCCTAAACCGACGATCTGAAGTTACTTTTTGTCATGACCTACAGAAATAATTCCAAAAATCTTGCCGCCCAAATTCGGTTTTATATTTGTTACGCTTAGTATCAAGAACTGGTCTGTAGTAAACTCAAAAAGGTATTACTATTGGATGTCATTGAAATCATCATGATACAGTGGTTCTCAAACTTCTTAAGCCGCGCTCCTTTCAATAATGAAAAAAATGAAAAGTCCACAAAACAAAGAGGGCAAGGCAGGTAATATCGAATCTAACAAATATTTTTATTTTCAATTAGATTCACCCCCCCCCAAATTTGTCTACGCCCTACTCGTGGAGCGCACCCCACAGTTTGAAAACCACTGCTCTAAAACATTTTATGTGATATCTTTACTTGATTTAACTTGTTGGAGATCCATATATCGACACCTCAAAACCAAACAGTGCTAAGTCCACTTTTCCAAAAAATGACATTTTTCAATTGCTGATTTTCCTGGACTTAGCTCTACATTTTGGTCTATTTGCCTTATCTCTAGGTGCTCTAGATCTTAAGACAGCTATGGACATAACCCTGCTTTTTTTAGGGCATTTGAGAACTAAACAGAGCTGTGTCTACTATAGTGGACTTAGCTCTGGATAACTGCATAGTCCGTTTTTTGGACATAGCTCCTCTCAAAAAATATAATACAAAGCGGTAAGTCCATACCAGCCTCTATAATAACATAAAAAAGGGGCCCTAAGTCCAATAAAATTGTTTCTGGTACAGAAAATTGAGAGCCAAAAAGGGTTAAGTGCAAAAAAACCCCCCCAAAAAAAAATTGGGGCGGAGCACAAATTTTTTTATACCATCTAAATATGGCCTTCATTGTAACTTTTGTGGACCATAAAAACTAGACATACTCGATGTAAGGTATTAGAGAAATAAAAAAAAGAAACAAAAAAAAACGTTTTTTGCGTTTTTCTCAAAACTAGAAAAATGGACTTAGCCCAATTCGGATTTCATGCGTCGATATATGGATTATTATTCTAAGAATTCTAAAATCTGAACTATCATTCTGAGCACTAGGTCGCTGCGAATATCCGTTTACGGTGTACCAATTAATAGTTAAATAGATATCTTGAGTCGAATCGCAGACCAATTCATTCTTTTTCATGTGAATTTGTACTGATATTGTTGCATTCATTCTTAAGGCTGAGAAAAGGTTCAAACAAGCATTGAAAAGTGGCGAAGAGAGATATCGAAAAAGTCAAATTTCTCAACATCATGGTGCTGCTGCTGAATCTGAACATAGTATGTTTCGTTTACATTTGTATTGGAAATTTATTTGTTTGCCACATTCTTAATATGCTTTATATGTTGTTATGCAAATTAGTTTTATTATTCTCTAGTATATCTAATATGTTGCTGAAATGTTTAGATTATACATGTAGGTAAGTAAAAACAGCCAATAAATTTGAAAAGTGGCTATTCTATCCTCCAGTTATCATTGTTAAAAATTGATTTCACAGTCAGATAATACATCATCGTATCTTCGCTCCTAGTGTAAATAAGGTAGACGATGCTGGACTGAGACTCTGAGAGATTCTGGTCATTCCAAACTAAAACATGCTCTTTCCATATCAGTGGCTTCTTACAGAGCAGAGCCTCGTTTAGAGAAAATGACGTATAAATATACTGTATGAATAATAATCTGTCGCACGTGGTGATTCCAGTGTTCTGATTTACAGATTTTTGATTCTGAAACGCCCCTTTCTCATATATGTATGTCAATCTGAAATGTGTGTTTATTATTCTTACATCCTATCTATTCTTATAGGGCGAGATACGAACGTACTTGTTTATATTAAAAGAAGAATAGCGATGTGTGCAAGAAAGCTAGGAAGAACGAGAGAAGCAGTTAAAATGATGAGAGATGTAAGTTTTTCACCTGACATGGCAAAGACTAATGATTCCATGGTTAAAGTATGTGTAGTGATCTATCTCCTTGTCTGTGAGTGGCCAAACAAGGTGGTCGAGTGGATGGTCCATACTCTATTTTGCCATTACAGACCACACAGACTTGATAAATCTTTAACCACGCTTTAATTATATAACTTCACCATAATAAGTGGTATAACATACAACACCCAAGCATTCATTTCATGGGCCATGAATGAAGTCCTTGCATCTGTAACAAATAACTGGCTAACTAATACCATACCTGACAGGAACTGGTATTCAGATGAGAGGCCGTGGTACCCCATATGATCAAGCTGTCTAATCGCCTTTTACTCTCCCCTGCAAAAAATATGTAAATCCTATCCTATCGTAAATACGACTGAAAGAGTCAAACGATAATTGAAAACCTAACACAGGTGTACATTCTAACTTTGCATAATTCTGCAGGTTACTGATTAATATATCAATCAATCAAATTAAATCATTTTTTTATTTGCCATACAGACAGAAGAGCGCAGTAAGAAATAAATTATATATATATATATTCACGTTTTTGCCCAAATAGGGCAGGATAATTGCAAAATGACCATTCCAGCTATTTGTCTGTGGTTTCGTTTACAATGAAATCTGTCAAAATGACCACAGTGAGAGTGATTCCTTATGTTTTTTAATTTGGGGAATTCCCCTTATAATTCTGATGGAATGCTGTAATGCACGGGTGTGCAACCTTTTTCGCAGGCGGGCCAAATATCAATAACTGGGCAAAACCGCGGGACGCACCTTCATTTAACATAGGCTTTATATTAGTTGCAGGCACAAAATAGTTTCTTTTTGTTATTGATCTCATGTTGTCATCATAAGGGGTCCTTGCAGAAAACGCATAAATATCTTAAAACTGTAATCCAAATATAATGCAACACCCAATTTAAACGAATTCGGTGAGAAATTTGCTGCTGGATTCTTTTCCTGACTACTTTTATCCAAATTTGCTTAAATGGAAGTGCTAGCAATTTGATATGACGCCCATTTTAAAAAAAGATATGTAACCGGAAAGTGCCATATTTGAAGCCATGACTTTTTTCAAATGTGGAAAGTTATCTTAGTTGAGATGTTCTCGGTATAATACGCCAAGATTCATTCCAAATACTTTGCTGTAAAATCTTATTCTAGATTAGATTTTAACAAAATCAACTGATAGGCTGGAACCAAAACTCATTTAGCTTTTGTATCTCTTAATATTACATTTTTTCAACTTGCTTTCCAGTAGCCTAATCTTCAATTGTCCGTTCTTACAAATTCATTAGCGTCTGCTCCGCATTTTTCTTTCAATTGTTCGCTGCTCGGCAAGAGACAGCTTCCTTGTGAATCGCGTTGTTCGCTTCGCTGTGAGGACGTTGTATCGTCATAGGCATAGATCATAGGTTCTCAAAGTGCTCCGTACGGAGCCCCAGGGCTCCGCGAGAGGAACCCAGGGGCTCCGCGAGCTATTCGATTACTTTTCAAAATACTGACTAATTTTGTAACTGTTTAAAGAAGCAATAACAGCTTTGATAAAATCTGACAACAATATGGCCTCGAAATATGGCAAAGAGGCTGAATTAAAAAATGACATTATTTATAAGCAGGAGCGCAGCCAGGATTCTTAAGAGGGAGGTGGTTCAAAATTGGAATCGGAAATTACCGCGCAACATTCTTCGCGATTAAAAAAAACTTATAACGAGATTTCTGTTGTGTGAAATATTCAATTCATGACCAATGCGAGCATTTAACGTGTCTCGTCGTTATAATGTAATTGTGCTCATCGTTACTCACGTTTGATTCGAGATTACTATTAGGATTACTAAAATGGAAGAATATTATTCTGAAATAACATAAAATATGTGATAAACTGCCAACTATCAATAAATTGGAGTCGTATTTTTGCGATATTGGGATTTGTCAAACTTGATTTGTTCTTTCGCACTTGAGATTATTTTTAAGCAAGATATCGCCCTTTAAAAAAACACAATGTCTGGGCAAAATACGAACAATTGAAATTTATTTTATTGCATTCGGCTCCGTCGGTAGTTTCAGAATGAAAAAAGGTACATCGCGGATCGCGCGCACAATTGATTGCGTGCAGCTCCGTCGGTAGTTTCAAGAAGGGAAAAAAAGGTAGGCCTACATCGCGCGCACAATTGACTTGTGTTTCGATTTCGCAGTTACTACAATGAAAACCTAACATAACACCAAATTCTGTGATTTGCAATGTCTATAAAAGCGTTTTCAATCCTAGGTGAGTCTGCTGAAACCAAACGTGTGATCTTCCATTTTAAGTTTTAGTTTTAATATTTCAGAATGCCGCTTTTTTATCAAGAAATTTGAGTTGCAGATTTATCTCTTTATTAATTATTATTTTTAGCATTTCGTCGCCGATGACTATAATATGGTAACATGTTTTTCACATTGAACTCATAATTCCCCACGAGAACACAAAAGCCATTAACGTCGTCATTGTGTAACAATACATGTATATGCAGAGGGAAATTTGAATCAGGGAGAATAAACACCGGCGTGAAGATGTTTAAAGGTTCAAAAACACGCCATGCTGAGGAAAAATCGGCGATTGTAACAAAATGCAATCGCGCACATTATTAGCGGCCTTCTAAGTCTTCCAAACATGTCAAAAGGGAAAAGATTCGACCATGTTTGTCAAGTGTCAAATTTACAGCTTTAGTATATATAATTTATGTTTGAAATTTAGATTTTTTTATGACTTGTATTAACCCTTTCAAAAAAGGTTCAGCATTTAAATTGAGTAAAGTACTTTTAACTTGCTCAGGAATATTAATCCGAAAGTAACAATTTTAACATTTATTTTGGGGCTCCGTGAATAATAGTTAACCTTTTCAAGGGCTCTGCAACACCAAAAGTTTGAGAACCCCTGGCATAGATAATAAATTGGACTCAAATATAAGCTTCGCTACGCAAAGGGAACCAGATCAAACTAAATTAAAAATTAATTTAGCTTGCCGCACACCATTCAAAATTGGCACTTCTTCGCGGGAAGCACAATTTATCCTCGTGGGCCGCATTTGGCCCGCGGGCCGCACTTTGCACACCCCTGCTGTAATGCAATGCGTACACATTTAATGCAATCAATATATACGATAACAGTTGCAAGACACTAAAATGTACATCATGATTCCAATGTTTCTTCAAATTATATTTTATTTATTTACATTCAGTTGATGAAAGAATTTCCGTTACTGAATGTTTTAAATATTCATGAAAATTTATTGGAAGCTTTACTTGAACTACAAGCATATGCTGACGCCCAAGCAGTATTATCTAAATACGATGGTGGGTATTGCTTTTATTTATCTACGATTCATATTTTATGTAGCCATAGTGATTGTTGTTGTGAAAGACGCTTTTAGCAAAAATGATTTTCAAGTCAAATCAGCCAATCAAAAAAAAATTTTTTTTTCAAGGTTGGAAAAGTTGCCATAAGGCTATAACGGGTAATTTAGACTCGCTTTTCTAATCTTTGCCAAGTCCTATGAGGCCTGATTTTTCACTCCAAATTTTGCTGTTGTTTCACAATGATTCACAGGGGCATACAGTACACACCTTCATATTACATTTAGTACAGATCTCAAATCTCACAGACAGATCTCCGCGTCTGTTTGATCATCACCCTTCTATTTGTTATAGCACAATATATTAAAATGCAGTGAAGGAACACAAAATACCATTTGATTCGATATCGTCTTTTGTTGTTTATTACCAAAAACAAATAAATACTCTATTCTAAAACAGATATAAGTCTTCCGAAATCTGCTACAATATGCTACACTGCTGCTCTATTGAAAGCACGAGGGGTTTGTGATAAATTTTCACCTGAAGTTGCTTCGAAACGAGGACTTTCTACAGCGGAATTAAATGCTGTTGAAGCGATTCATCGTGCAGTTGAATTTAATCCTCATGTACCCAAGGTATGCTTTGTTATTTTATTTGAACTGAAGCAGCAGCTTTGAAACACCTTTAGGTACAACAAGGGGGCAGCCAGGACTTTATTAACTGGGGATTACAGTTTGCGAGGCATCCTTGCTTTTAAAAAGTTATAAATTGTGCATTGCTTGAGCAAAACACTCCTGAATATGAGTTTTGGCTGCTGAAGCGTGAAGCGTTGACCGTGATTCTGTGAAACAAAGTTGTTTTTGCTAGGCAGAATATAGAACTCTTGTTTAAAACCAAGTTCGAACAGGGGCTACATAATCAGGCAGTGCCCTTTTGTACGAGCATAATGATGCTTTTATTTGACCTATTCTTCTCTGAGGGTATATAATAATCATCTGTTATATTATCACATGGTGGTTTCCTAATTAGTTGAATAGGTCTATAGCTGAATAATTGTATATTCCAAACCCATATGCGGTTCAGTACAGTATTGGATAGTTGATTTATTCAAATTTGTTTGTTATGAAGATACTCCGAGTTTAAAATTTGACTGACATTCATGGTTATGGGGCTTTGTTATTCCATTTCATTGTAGCATTACATTGCTCTCTTGCTCTTTTAGATATGAATTGTGTACATTTTTGGTGGTCCACTGTTAACCACATGTAATCAATCTCACCCATGGGAAATCTGTTTTATGCACCATATTTTCATATGACATGGATCCATATTAACGACTTGACATCGGTAAAAGTGTTCAACGTCGTTGTAAAATAATTAAAACCTTGGTTAGGATGGTTTGATACCATTGACTAATCTAATCTCATACCTATATTATGCCAATTTCCAATGCTACATGCAATGGATAGGCTAATTACTTTATATGGTGTTACTGAGTGTATATTATTATGGTTGGCTGTTTTTAATTTAGTATCTTCTTGAGATGAAAAGTTTAATTCTTCCACCCGAACATATTTTAAAACGCGGAGATTCAGAAGCAATCGCATATGCATTTCATCATTTGCCTTTATGGAAGCAAGTCGATGGAGCCCTCAATTTACTGCATTATACATGGGAAGGAAGTATGTGTTTTTTATTGCCTATTATATTCTATGTAAATAGAAGTTGGGGGCCACGACACAGGGCTAATAATTGATCATAAAACGACTTCGTTTGCATACTTTCCCTTTAAAATAATTCCCCGTTCAGGCGTTCACTCAAGTTTCATTGCCAGAATAGAATATTTGCGATCACAGGGTGTGTTCACTTTCTTGTGCGTGGATTGTTTGATCATAATGGCATTTGGAATTCGAGATTCTGTCAAAGGAAAAGCTTAGCATCCCAATCGCAAGATTCTCTTGAATTGTATACTAAAAAGCTTATACTACCTTGTCTGTGGTTTGTTTTTGCATTCCATAATAGGTCGTAAAAACATCATACAATTCTATACATTTATTTTTTTGGAATGGCAAACAGGGGGGCCACGAGTGCAAAAAGGTGCCGGAAGGGGACCACGAGCCATAAAAGGTTGGGAACCACTGCACTACACCATCGGACCTATTATTGTTGCAAACTTAGCCACTGGAGATTTGTTAATTTCAGAATGAATGTGTCTATTCACTTACACACAATACAAGGATATTTGTTTGGGAGAGAAATTTTTATCTTTTTAAAGTATCTTAATTATTATGATATTTCTTTCAGCGTTTCGTATGATACCGTATCCATTGGAAAAGGGGCATTTGTTTTATCCTTATCCTAATTGTACTGAACAAGCGGACAGAGAATTATTACCTTGTGAGTCGTTACTACGAGTTTATGGTCCTATGTATAGTCCAATAACACTTTACTGAGCATGAGACCGTTGAATATGATTAAAGTAATATTTTTTCGATGAAGAATTAACTTTTGAGATTTATAATTTTTCACTGATTTTATTTTATAAGCATATAATTAGTTTCTATTTTGTATTGTAAGAAAATATGTCTTTTGAGTCAAAATCTCAGTTTTAAATTTTGTGAATTATTTATATTATATATTATACATTTTGCAGATATATTTGAGGACTTTTAGTAATGTGCTTGGTTGAGCTTTCCAAATTGTATCAAGTTTGAAAAATGTTGATTCGTAGTAATTTTAATTTTATCCTATTTTCAGCATTTCATCAACTTTCTGTTTATCCGAAAAAAGAACTTCCGTTCTTCATTGTATTTGTTGCAGGACTTTGTACGTTTACTGCTATGTTGGCAATATTAACACATCAATATCCTGATTTAATGGCAGTATTTGCCAGAGCTGTAAGTTTGCTTAGTTTCGATTTATACTATTTCTTAGAAATTTTTTCACTGAACTGGCGATACAGACGTAGATCTTTTTTAAAACTCTTACTATGATTACGATCAAATTGCTTACGGAATGACCTCATAATAGTAAATAGATTGTTTTACATATATTCAACCTACACTTTTTAGTCCGGTCATGAGAGCCTAAAAGCGAGACGAAGGGTATTGCAGATATAATGCAGAAAATAAATTTTGAATAAGAAATTAGAAAAAGGGTCACTTGGGAAGGTGGCGGTGCTGCAAGGTCCTGTCAAATAGTTCAATTGTGCTTGAAGCAGAGATTAGTGTTACTATACATACATACGTTAATAGCCAACTTTGTTCTCTTTTTCAGTTTGTTGGGGCACTTTTTGCACCGCTGTCTTTTATTTTGGAGAAGATTGACGCTTTGATGCCGACTTCAATATGGCATATTTTGACAAGAATTTAATAAATAAAACAAAGCTGTTTTCAAACAAGTTATCAGTTGTCATTTTATTTTTTTTTCTCTCAAAAATCTGGTCTTGTGTTATTCTGTTACTGCGACCGATGGTGTCCTGTCTTCATTTATCTTATACACAATTAAGTCAATAAATTGACAATCATCCTCTATTCAATTATGTGTGAGTTGATCACTTAGTAGCAACTGTGTTGTCATTATGGTCAGAATTGATATATGCTTTACAACCAGTGTTCTGTGGAACTGTAAGTGTTCCGCAAATCATATTCAGGGGTTTCGTGGGTTTTGAGGAGTTCCGTGAGTTTCTATTTGAATTCTGCTTTGTCAGCTATGATAAAGAAAAACCTTTGAGTAGTGTAGATATGTGCACAAAGACTTCATGGTGCTATAAGGGTCGTTGAATTACTTCAATTTCACATTCTCGGAGTGTCCAACTTCAAAATATTCGACTGATATACTGGTTGAGAGTTCTGTGATGAGCCCAATAGCATACCTAGGGTCCGGCAAGGATAGATGGTTGAAAAGCACTTGTGTATGAGGATGGTGTAACATAAAGCACTGATTTGATCAGCAGTTACTGTGAAGGCCGATGTGGCAAATGTTTTTGAATATTCTGAGATACTATGTACTCTGTGAGCAGCTCCAGATCATTTTCTTCATTATAATGTGTCCTGCATGATTAGCCTTGAATTAGGAGGAGCTGTTGTTGAGTGGTAGGAGGAATATAGAAATCAAATGTAGAGTACAGATTTGCTCACTATTATGATGTTACATGCAAGCAAGCTAATGGTTTTGGATTGTGAAAGAGCCAATGGATAAAGTAATATTCTTCTTGCCTGAACTACATGAACTGATATATTCAGGAAGGTTTTCTGAGACCAGGTAGGTATAAGAACCAATGGGCATCTTAACGTTTTCCCTAAATAAAACAGATTTGCACTTCCACCACAAACACAGTAATGATGAAATGATATAGAATGGATTATAATATATATTCACTCCTTTATATGAATGTACTGTTATTATTTACAAAAACTAGTAATCCGATTTGTCTGCATTTCACACAAACAATAATTTCAGTCTATAAAATACAATACATAAGTCAGTACCGTAACGGTTATTTATAAAGATATATAAAAGTATTATTGTGCAACTATTTGAAAACAAACAATATACAATTGGGGATAGAGAGAAGGGGTCAATTATTCAATTCAAAGTAGTGTTTTTTATAAAACAATGCTTGAAACAGGGATGATCAAAACCAAACGGATTGGGTAGCAATAGATTATGTTTTGAGATAAAATAGATTTAAAGTGCTCCTTATGGTCTGTAAAATACAGTACATTGACTTGGATTGTGGAAAATTTCATATCAACATTTCGAATTAGAAACGGCCTCGACTTTTAATGCGTTCTTATTTGGGTGTACTTGATTTTGAATGTTTGCAACACACTGATTTAGATGATGATTTCCTAATTTTAAGATGCATTTAAAGATATATTAAACAATCCCAACATGGTAAACCCCTCTAAAACAAGTGTTCAATAAAAAATTCGTTTGGTTTTACCACCCTGGTTGCAAGTCATATAAGTGGCCATGATATTGATTTCATACAAACAATCACAATGTACAGATCAATTCAACAATGAGAAGAAATGTATAAAAGTGTAAAAATGGGTATATTTACCTGTACTATTACAGACACAAAAACATTGATATCACAAAATTGGTCCATATATATGTTATTGCACACCTCAAGATTATATTGCATATATGTATATAGCATGGTAAGTACGTACGGTTTGCCAAGCAATATATACAGCAGAAAATTTATGACATGTCAGTGGGAAAATAACTCTTGAAATTTTTCGAAAAAATATCAGTGACAAGTTGTATACGGATTTAGAAGTATTTTTACTAACTAGAACAACATATTCTCATGTATGCTTAAAACACGAAAGCCCCCTTAAATCTATAAGTGTTGTGAAAATCAAAGTTATTTTTTTTTCTTGAGGAAATTTACATACAGTGACTGCAACTTAGCTCCTGTAAGCACCAGTATCACAAATGAATATATACTTACTTTAAAATAAAAGGCACACCTTTAAAAATTGAAAAATAAAACATGAAACACTGAACGTTGACCACTTTGAAACTGGCTTGTACATGAATTATCAGAAGTTCATATCTCTTGTAGGTTATTGTTGAATATTTGTTTCAGAACAGTATCGCCAGCTTGATGACATCAAGTCAATCATCATATTGGTGGTCAGTTTCTATCACTAAACTTCTTATTCGCTTTAAATTCAGAGTATTATATTTCATTCACTCTGTTTCATTTCATTTACTCCATGTCGCGGAAAGGCTGCATCATCCAAGATATACAATGATGCTCAAATTGTTTTTATTGTGTGGTACATCATGCATTGCATATCGTTGAAGCAGTGCCCACCATAACATCGCAATTTCAATATCACCAGAATAAATATATCATTACTGGTTGTTTAAAATCAAAAGTGCACAGAACAAATTCATGGCTGTTTGTTATAATCACTGACAACGAGTGACAGGACTCGAAATGTTAGGAACCCAGTTCGGCTTCGTATCGAACTCAAAAGACAGGTTTCTTCATTTCAGAAAACCACGTCAAAGTTATTGATGTGAAAACAAGGTCAAGTTCGCTGATTATTACGACTTTCCAAGAACAGTTTTGTGCCAGTCCCGAATCCCATTGTCGTTTGTTAATCTAATTTTCATTACTGAACTAACGGCTTATACACTCCAAAGTGTTTTCCTAGATTAATATATTTAGCTGATTTCAAATTGTTCCTATGGTCAGTTGTTAGCAAAATATTTTCACATGTTTTAACAAGAAGCTGCGCTTCTGCTATCTGAGTGGCGTATGTTACTGAAACAGAATCACCTTAATGTTCATATATTCGGTCATCGCTATCTTCCGTACTTTTAGTACTGCAACCTTTCCTGTCTTTTCTTGTTCAGTTTATTATATGGCACACAGAGAAGGGTCCAATCTGCCAAAAGTAAAACAAGTTGGCATCAGAAGCGTGAAAAGCAACAGACGAAGCAAGTATTTGTCAGTGATTTGAACCACACCAAAACGAGAATTTGTCCTTCATATTAGTGACCCTTTTCTGTGTGCCAAGCTGAGTAAAATCCCATTCTGCACTGAAACTATGAAAGGATGACAAATAATAACGGAATGCATCTGTTATTTTTTAATTTTCTACATTGAGAAAGACTATAAGATTGCATGGCAGCATTGAAAAATCAAAATAATAAGAAATACAATTTAACGTAATTCTGTTGTTTTATATATAAAATGCTAATACATGTACAGAATGCGGCACGATCACAATACAATTGAAGACAAATTATATGGTTCAAATCACTTCCTCGAATATTGAAAATTATGTTTAGGGCCAGGAAAACATCAGATGTTAAGATGGAAAATCAGTTAAGATAAAGAAAACAAGATGCACACAGATAAAATTCACAAATTCAGAATGTTAATTTGAAGGCCATGAAAAGTAATGATTACGACTCGATTATACGAGTATATTCCATATATGTTCGCAATTTTACTGAATAAGATTCCTCCTCACTATATATAGATATTTATAAGTGTATAATACCCTGCGTATATATGACCCACTCGAGGGAAAAACAATTTTCGTAACTGAATTAGATATATTCAGTATAGTAAACTCTTGATTTACAAGTAAGTTAGAATATTCTCATTCAAAAACTGGGTGCGAGAAACTCGGCATATAACTTGTATATTTTATAAATCAATCCTATCACCAAGTTTGGGATAAATTGAGGATTCAATTATATATTTTCAGAATGTATATATGCATTTTACAATTTGATAATCCTCAAGGTAAACGATACGTTCCCTAAATAATGGAAGAGTTACTTTAAGTAGGCAGAAGAATAGAACCAAATTAAGAATAAAGCTGATATAACATTTGGCAACATCATACAGCGGAGAAGCGAAATTAAAAATTTGCTACCAACATGCTGTTATATATAAGCTCAATGAAACAAGAGTATAGTTTTCCTCAAATAAAATACAATCAGAAAAAAGGATAAAAAGTGGAATATATAATGTTTAAAAGCAAATACACGAATACTGAGATTAAACAATAATATCATATTGCATTGAAAATGCTCAATGGTCATGTAATTTCAAACCAGATAAACAAACATTTTCAAAACTCTAGTAAAGAGATACAAGGTTTATATATGCTGTTGCTATTAGGAATATTATTTCGCAAGTCTTTTTGAATAACTTTGCTCTAAGAAAGTTACAAAATTAGGAACTAAATATGACCAATTGATTCATTTTTAACGAGGTAAGACTGTGGCACCATAGACGTAGGTAGGTATCGCTCAACATTTGAAGTGTTACACATAAGTATCTGCTAAACGTTATTCAGGAAAACCTATCACCATGCTAAGATGCTTTTCAAAGCAATGTTAGTAAATGAAGCTCATTTGAATATTTTTTTTCTACGACACCGACATACCATTGACAATATTACGAAGTTGTTTTAAAACAGTTTCCAGGAGTTTTTTCTTTTCCCGTTCTTGTCTGTTGAATGATGTAAATATATTACGACGTTTGCTGTCCTCACGAATCCTGAAGAAAAAATATTTTCAGTAGATACATCAGATAAATAATTGTATTTTTATACAGTGCACGGCTATCTACATAATGAGGAGCTATAAAATTGTATTTTCATTGATTTGTATGAAATTTTACAACATTTCGAAATTCTGGGTAGTTTTTGTATCTGACAATACGGTGTAGAATAATTTTACATCATGCATGCATAAGGTATATATTCTACCCTGAGAAATTAGATATAAAGTGTTCTTTTGAAATTCAGACTGTTCGGTGAGTGTAGAAGTAAAATAATGATTTTTATAGTTCGCAAAATGAAAAATCTAATTAATGACAATTTGATATGCAAAGTAGAAAATCATAATCAAGATTACTTGAATTTAATTTAGCAGTGCAATTTTAATAGGTTACAGTAACCCTTACTTAAAAAAAGACAGTAGATCATTTACTAATAGGAGGAAATCAATGGAGTCTTGTCTGCAGTTTCTCTTCACTATACTTTACCAAATGCTATACCTCAGAGTAAAAAGTATCTGGTGTATATTATATTATACAATGCAATTAGTTTTGAAAATAAGGGAAAATACTCACTTTTCCAATAATGACAATGCAGTGGCGGGACCGACTCTCAAATATTTGCTGTTTCCACTCCCGTAATCAGCAAGATATGATGACCAATCCCACGATAAGAACAGATCGAGTAATTGACGAAGTTCAAGAAAACTCATCTGCAAAACTCCATCTTGAAAACCTGGAACTGGGTCAGAACTTGAGAAAACTGAAAACAAGAAAAAGCGTTTGTAAGTGGTGAAGTAATAACTGAAATTAATTGTTTAATTAAAGAAAATCGTGACAGCATACATTAATATACCCTCCATAATTGGAATTAATTGACCAATTAATTTATTTGATCATATATTGTTTGATTGTTATTTATAAAACTTTGCTTGAAGCAAGGTTATGTAACCCCCCAACTGAAAAGAGTTGCAGGTAACCATTCACATGCTATAGACTACATCCAGGTTAGTCATTGCGACATGGATGTTAGTACATAAATTAAATGGTTATTAATATTGATGATTGTTTTTCAAACAACTTTGCTCGTAGAAAGGTCATAGGCATCCAAGTTAAAGTGTGAATTGAACGGATAGAAGTTGCAACCAAGCACTGACATATTAGGGAATTTAAATAGATTTACACGTGGGAACCAATACTGAGAGGAATATAGCAAAGTAGAAGGTGGTACTACAACGCGAGGCCAGAATGGTATAAGATTGTTGTACTGGCATATTGAAATATCCAGTACTTTCAAAAATACAAGTGGCAGAATTAAGAGCAATAGTGACATTTGCAAGGATTTGGCACTTGTTCTATATCTATTTATAGATTCAGTTTCTATTGTAATTCCTTTCACTTCGAATATAGTTTAAATAATTCAGCGCAAGTTTGACAAAATATTTTAAATCTTAGCATGTTGTACCCACATTCGCATTGCATGACATCAAGATTAAATTGTTGTAAGGCAGCCATTGTTATTTGTCGAATATCTCGATCCATCAAGGTTTCCATCAACCTGGTTGCAATGTGTTTGCAGGCAGACATACAAGCGGTTTGTGCCACCTTTTCCTGAAGATAACAATATATTGTTATAAAAGTTGCACCATGACTAAGAACGAAATATTTTAAGAGCATATGAAATTCAGTATTCATGTATTCAATTCAGTAACTTTTTTATTTCAGCGACAGTTTAGAATGATTTTATTTGAAAAATTGTTATTCTGATAGTTAGAACTTCCATTATCTTCCTAAAAATTGTGGAAAATTGACAAACAAACAACTGATTTTGATTTTTCCAGGTTCTAGGATATTGAAGGGTCTGTTACTAAGCGTCGGTGTGTATTACTTTTTAAAAAATCATTGGACTGCATGATAGTCAAAAAAAAATTGGAAAAATAAACAAAATCAACATTTGAAGATTGGTGTCAAACTGATTTCAGATAAGGAAAATGGAATTTGAAAAATGTCCACTTCAGAGCATATCGATATCTACTTCATGATGCATCGTTTTAGTATATCAAATATATACCAGGCAGAGTGGGGATTTGACATATTTTTATAAATGTTGGAATTGGAGTCTGAATCATAAATTTAAACTCCCTCAAAGTTAAAGCTAAAGTCGAAATTATGAATTGTCCAGTCACACTCGAAATTTCATACCTAAAATAGTGATCACAGATTTTTGTCATCAAAATTTCATTTTTTTTGAATTCAGCGGTGGTGTCTGTCTCAATATTTCTGACAACATCGAGTCTGAGCCGGAAATGTCTTTTGAATGTCTCAGAATAAAATATTCCTCCAGACTCCAGAGCCTTGATTCAATATGATTTTATCTATTTGTTCCACATACATAAATAATGTACTTACTGGTAAGTGACTGAAAACTCTGAAATTATGTCTTAGATAAGCAATCAAATCCAATAAATAACTGCTTGCAGTTCCCATTGCTTCTGACATGCTCCAGTTATATTCAGCCAGTTCAAAAAATTCATCGACTTTACTGTTGACTTTGATATAAATCTAAAAAATATAAGTTTCTCGGTCAAAAGAAATAGAAAAAACAGTGAAAATATCACAAGTTCAAGATGCATCAGACAGGGCAAACTATTCATATTTCCAGAAAAATGTACTAATCTGTCAAAATTGGAAGAGTCGTAATTTAAAGGCTTCAAAAAAGGTTTTTACAGACAATTTGAACATATGCAAAACTGTCATATTTCAATGAAATAGAAAATAAATACAATTTTGAAACTATCTGAGAGAGCACTTTTCAGAAATCACAACAGAATGTGATACCTTGGGCAAAATAACTGCTTGAACAATTAAGAGACAAGTTAGCAGATAACAGATAGATCTAACAATAAAAGCATTCCTATCCAAACATCAAAAAATCAAAATAAACTTTGTCTTTGCTACAACGCACCTGAGACTCAGTTTCACTTCTAGCATCTTTGAAAGTAGATACTCCAACAAGTTTAGCAGTGTGTGATGCAGAGGAATCTACACCTGTTATGCTATGAACAAATTCTTCCACATGACTACATGAATTCTCCAGGTATGACGTGTTGATTGTGATTTGTACAAGCTAAAATATGAAAATATATTCATCAGTATATATTTAAAAGAATTAAATCGCTCATGGCAGATCGCTTTATTAATAGATTTTAAACTAAGAAATTGTGGCACTCTGTGCATATACCGATAGTTAGGTAATTTAGGACTCCCCTCCAGAATCCAAACCACACTGATTCAGAACATTTTGAATAATTATTGCAAGAAAACATGATATAGGCTTCTCTCCCTTTTAATGAATTAAATGGCAAATATATCAAAAATTCACTATTCGGCTGCCGGATCCTAAACTCTATAGTTTGGAAAAAAACTTCACAAATATAGGAAATACATACACCACTTTGAACATTGTCTGGCAGCAATTCCCTCGAAAATGCATGACTTTCAACGGAACATAAACACAACAAAATTTAAAACTCAAAAAGTTGTTTGTTTATAAAACAATTCAGGCCATGTGAAACAAAACATATTTCTAGAAAGTCAAAAATTTACAAACAGAAAAGACATAGGTACTAATTAAAAACTGGTTTCTAAATTTCAAATAACACACCTCCAAGAGTCCAAGAGTTGGCTTCTGTACGAGTTTCTGTAGTTCAGTACTCAATGTTCTTGTTAATAACAAATTGGTAGATTTTCGTATCATGTCATCCACTTCTGTTGAACTAGAATCATCAAAAAAATATAAATAATTCAATATCATTCAGGGATGGCCAATCAATCTATTTTCATATATGCATTCTAAAATAATATTTTCAAATGTGCAATCCTGAATTGGGTTAGGTTTAACTGCAGTAATGTAATAATGTACAATGTATCAAGGAGTTTAATTTGATATTCCAGCACACAGAGATTTGGTAGTTTTGGGAAAAATTTGAGAACATTTGAAAAAAAAAAAAAACTAAACTAGCCTTCGAAGTACTGAAATTAGAAATTAAATGTTCTATTTATTGAAGAAAAAAGGCGATTTTCCCCTTAACAACCACAATAACGAAAATTTAGCAAAACGATCCAAGACCATATATGTACACTTTCAGACAGCTGACAGTAAAGGACAATTTGATTTGGATGGAAAGCGGAAGACAAATTTCAACGCCAAATTGATAAGGGAAATTGTTGATAGAAATGAATTCATGCACACATACAACATCATTGTATAAAAATGATTGTTTCAGCAGTTAGTGGCACATTAGTCATTGTTCCGACACTGAATTGCAATTTGCTATGATAAGGTTGACAAATATTATGAAACAAAGCAAAGGGAAGTGCTGGTGATTAAATGAGATGATTGAATCTAAAATGATTATAGTTACTGAAATTTTGTGCAACACTTTGGGAGTAAAATAGCTTGGCATAAAAAGAATATCGCACATTTCACTAATTGAATTGTGGATGTCAATAAGTAATGAAAATGACTCTTACAAATTAATAAAAATAATTTCAAAACACAAATATTTGATATAAAGTAAAACAGAATTTTAATAATGGCTAACAATGTTGAAAGTAAGCTTCAGCATGTGGTGGCATTCTTAGTTGTTCTTGATCTGTATCAGCAGTAACAACATTGCGTTGCTGATACAGAAACTTCGTCATATCGAAATAACTTAGATGTTTGTTAAAAAATTGCATTATATTATAGGCCTGGCCTGGGTTTGAATCATATTTTTTTAAAAGATAACTAGTATGTTATCATTCTAGCTATGGAAAGCTAACTTATAGGCCTACACGCTACATTGACCTGAAAAAGTAAGAAATCAGAATTTCATGCATCCATATGGTGTTTGTCTAGTGTTTCGAATTTCTGTTTTCTGATTTTACTGACCTCAACCGCTTTAAGCCGTAAGTCAGTCAGTATTTGTAGGCTTGTAATGCATCACCTTTAATCAATAGCTCTAGGTATTTCAGTGTTTGCAAATATATTTTCTCAAAGATGTCTCCATTTAGAGTTGGTGTGCTGTACCTTTCTTAGAGCAAACGATGTATACAACTTGGTAGCAATATAAAGAGGTAATGTAATAATAAGATGTACCTGAGATGAAGGTCTTCACAATATTCAAGACAAGCTTTAACAAAACTTTTGATTTCATTGAACACTCTCGGAACAAATCTTGAAAATGGAAGTTGTTTCGGAAAACTTGCTTTTATGAATTCAACATCTAGAGCAAATAGAAATAGATTAGATATAAGTACAAGTGCAATATGATGAAGTTGTTCTTCAAATTGGTATATGACATCCGTTACAAGATATTAGATTACAATGGCAATAACAATAAGAAAATGCACAACAATTTGTCCAAAAATCATGAGAAGAAGACAAAACAACTTTTCTATCTGCATGGAATTGTATGAAAAGCTTGATAGATTCATAGATGAAAAAAAATTGTTATGGCACCAAGGTATTATTATACAAATAAGAATGACTAAAATATTTGAGATTTCAGTGAAACTTGACTATTGAATAAGGAAAGAAAATAACACCATATAATTGAATGTGGTAAACTAAACACTGCATAAATCATTAAGAATTATTTAGAAATTGAAGAAATTGTTCCTAACTAAAAATTTATTAGGATATATAAGTTTAGGGAAAGACTCCAAACCATCTTTAAAACGACCTGTTTTTGCGTTGGTACAATTGTCGGCACGGATTGTCTAGATTGAATTTTTTTTAAACAAACACAGAGGAAACCAAATTTTGATATCAAAAACTTTGCTTTTTGCAATCCTTCTTTGATTGGTTGTTTTTAATACTTGGTCAACTGCATTTTGAATTTCTGTTTGGAATTTGGTTAACATCATTAAAGTCTGTAATTCGACCCCAAAGAATTCAAAATTGCTATTCCAGCTTTGGTAAGTTTGAAAATATGACTTCGATTCTGACTGCAATACCAATAAAAACAAAACAAACTCCGATCTCGACCCCAATCCTACAGGTCTGAAATACAAATAGGAACAATCAACCAACCTTCATAAGGAAATGAAGATAACAATTCCATTTCTTCTGTGTCGCTTGTTATTTGAATTGGTGTATAATTATCTTCATCGAAGATAGTTTGAAGAATTCTTGACCATTTCTTCAGTAAAATATCACTGTACTGCTCTCTCATTTCAATCAGTAATGAAAACAATTGGTCAACATCAAAACCGTATGCCTGTCACAAAAGATAAGAATAAGAAAATATTGTCAAAATGGAATAAGCTTAGTTCATTTAACAACATTACGAGTTACGACATAATAAACTCATAAAATATGGTGCATTATGGTGTTTAATTATGTCCTAGTGATGCTTGGTAAACTACAGATAAAACGAATTTCAAAAATGAATGCTATTAGTGTTTTTAAGAATCCAAATAATCCTAGCTAGTGCTTCTTCTGCATAAATTGACATTTTTGAATTCTCATGATTGCAATCAAGATACCAAATTAGAAAATTACTTAAGCTTCAATACCATCTTTATTTTTAGGACACTTTTAAAAATACATTCTGAAACACTAATTAAGTAAATAAACAACAAACCTTCAATGTGTCGGCAAATATAACAATATGATTTTTCACTGCCATCAACATATCTGCATCTCCACAATAATCCTGTTAAAAAAATTTAAAGATGTATGTAAATTATTTGGAAGAGTAGCTACCTATATAGGCATAAAGTTATTTTATATTGACACAACATCCTATTACTGTATAGTGTATACCTTACAAAAACACTTACAGTTCAGAGAGAAAATTTTGAGAGTTTCAGAGAAAAGTAAATAATAGCATTGAAAACGGTAAAAGAATAACAATTAAATCTGTGAAAGGGATATCCATAATGAATCAAATACTCAAATCAACTCTATTATGTTGATACTTTAAATTACCCACTTTGGGAATGATTCAGAATAGCCCTTTTGATTCTTACAGTAACAAACCTTTTAATTTCCAAAAATGGTAAATAATGGAGAGCCAATTAAATCAATGTTCATCTTAAATTTCTCACATTTCCAAATTCAAACCCATTGATTATACAGGCAGTTGGAGCAGAAATTATTCGATTTCGCCATCGCTGCATGCCATTACAATCAAAGACACAACGCAACGTGTTGCCGACATATTGTTAATCATGTCGGTTTATCTATTATTTTTTACCTCAAACAAACGAGTTTTAATGTAATCACTCACAGAATCCGTTCTCAAAACAGCTACGATTTCCGACAAGGCCATGTCCCATAAGCTATCTATATAGGCTTGATCAACAAGATTATTTGCAGTGTGTAAAATGTGGTCTTCGATAACAAAGAAACTGGAATAAAAATGAAAGAAATGAGGAAACAATTGTGATGTGTATTATACTTGGTTTCATTGCTGAAAAGCATTTTTTTGGTTTCATGAGGACATCAGAAATCAAGATAGGCTAGGCGGTTAGAGCGTTTGGGTAGTCAAAGCCGAACCGAAAAGATTTCAAAACTTCCAAAATAATAGAAGCTCTTTACATATCATTAGATACCAGTAACTGCTTGTACAATGTTAATAAGGGTTCTATATACTTTTGGCGCTCTGATAGTATGTGCACCAAGATGGCGCACCTCGTATAGAATATGTTCAGGTTGTGCGCCATACTACGAAAGCACAAAGTTTTTTCATCTCTCCTCATCATAAAACTGCCTTCCTAAGCTGCTTGTAAATGTTTCTTTTTTCTGTTGACGGCTCCTCAAAATAGTGCTCGGAACAAAATTATGTACCTTGCGACAGGCCGTGCAATTTGACTTTCTTCCACTAATGCACAGCAAATTTTTATCGGAAATTGTGTTCAAACTTCTTACTGCTTTTTATACAACAATAATTTTTTCTAACTATGTGAATACTATTCGGTTAATTAATATCATTAAAGCGTGATGGCCTAGTGGTTAAATTGCTAAAATTAACTATGATGGCATCGAAAGTGTCAGGTCATATCCCATGTCCACCACTTCACACAGAGTGTAATAAATTGAGTAGGCAATGCCAACCTGATCCTTCCAAAGTAAAGTAGCTCTGTGCATATTAGTGGTTGGTCATGTAGAGCCTTGTTCAGAGCAAAAGAAGTGTAAATGCGTCATATAATAAAGATCGAACAGCACCACAGGTATACTTCAATTGCTACAGGTTAAGAAGTAAACTATTCACTACTCACTTACCCAACAATTTGATGGAAAAACGATGTGTAACCTTCTAAACTTTCATGCATATTGTTGGGTGGTTGCAATGCAATTTCAGCTTGAGTTCTTCTCTGAATTCTATAATATTTTTCAAACTGATCACGAAACTTGAGAATTCCAAATATATGTAGACATTTATAAACTGGTGAAAAGTCAATCAAATCTGAAGGTGAAACGTCCTGAAAAATATTTAAGTATACAATTATATTCTCAAATTTTAAGGAAGAATACATATTATGAAATATTTTTGTATTAGAAGAATATGATTTTTTAAAAATCATATATAAAAATGAGTCTTTCCTTATTATCAGTATGAAGCATATGAAATAAATTATAATTTCTTGTACAATTTTAAATAATCAAGATGAGATAAAGATTTCAGAATAGCAATGTCAAATACTGTAATTTGTTTAAACTTTATGGTAATTGTTAAAGAATTTCAATTAACAGAGAAAATTTCACACATATGAAAATTAAATATACAATATGAAATTAATAAATGAATCAATTTACTGGCCCTTATGGTCATGATCGCACTTTGCATGAATTGGCAGTTAATACAGGCGTCCAGCATATACAAGTCGCTAGAATTTCATCAAATTACGGATTAAAATTTTATGTAAGTTATCTCAAAGCACTGTAGTGTTTTCACTTACAGTTTTCACTTTCATCCACCAAATTGAAAGTGATTACTCTCACATAAGGGGTCCCAGGCAATAAGGAATGGCCAAAAACTGATTAAAGTATTCTAAGTATATTGTAAATTAACATTTTGGAATATGGAATATATATATAATGAATTTGAAGTTCAAAATGAGATTTGAACAAATTATTGTAAATTCCTAAAAATGAATTAGGCAGAATGAGATAAACATTGTTCCATTTATTTTTTTGTTTGACCACCATATTTACAGACAGACTGATACAGTCCCCAAGTCCCCAAATAACAAAATTTTTAATGAAATTATTTAAAATGATTCATAAAATCAAGAAAATTATACACCCAAGTCCCCAAATAACAAAATTTTTAATGAAACTATTTAAAATGATTCATAAAATCAAGAAAATTATATCATCACATATCTCCGCAATTAATTTAAATTTTTGCGGAAAATACAGTAATGCTAATTTAAAAGATGAGTAGCACTTTATGTTATAACAAGATCGCGGCAGCATATATTTGCATGCGTGAAAATTCCGTCAGTAACCAATGTCAACAATGAATATGAGTCATAATAAAAGAAGAAAACTATCGCTGACCAATGCACAGGAATAAATCTTACATAAGTGACAACACTCAATCTCTAGTGTGTTTAATATTGAATGGATCAAAATATATAAATGAACAAGATAATAACATTCTAACAAGTAACCTATGTTTTATATTAGATTATTTGTCAAGGGCAAAGTGAGTCATCATATTTGCATAGTTGATATCAGAGACTATATCTGCCAAATGACATTGACGTACCATGGATGGGTGGCACCCTTCATCAATTGCTCATACATGACAGAGGCTAAATAATAAGGAAATACTTTGATTGTAAATAGGATCACTTCACAAGTCAACCGACATATAAAAATACTTTTCGTTGCAAGGATTTAATGTTTAATATCCGACTTTATCCCACAACATCAAAATTTTTCACACAATTTATAGAAATTAAATATTTATCTATATATTTTGAGGATGACATACATGAAAGAAAGCAGACATAGAATTGTGAATTATATTCAATCATATTTCATTTTTCAAATTTTATTCACATACAAAAATCACAGTTAATTACCAACAGAAATAATTATTAAATCACACTCTTTTGAATTATCAAGTTCGATTTAGTCAAGACCCACTTGTAATACAATAGGATATCCATCTGTTGGTTTGTCTTGCCAGAGCTTTTGAAGTTGAGATCGAGCTTCATTTGATACTGATCTGTTTTTTGATTCAATCGGGGACGAGAACCCAATATAGGAGTCGAAGGATAAATCAACATGATTTTGAGTATCGAAATCCAATCCTAATTTTTTTCGACTTGATTTCGATTCACTTTTAAAACAACCATTTGAAGCAGGTTGATCAGGTGGTTTCGAATTCCCTGGACCGCTTTTTTCTTTTCTTTCTTTTTTCTTTTTACGGCGAGGTGGGGCGACTGGAAATGGAGCCAGTTCATTGCCAGGTGGACTACTGGACATACTATGTGCAGCATTTGAGGGTACTTCATTTTGAATGGCTTCAGGTTCATTAGATAACGAATTTTGGCGATCAGTTTCATTAGCTATATCATCTCTTGCATCAGCTTCATTGAAGGAATTTTCCAATTCGAGTATAGATGTGTTTTTTTGTTTTGCATTTGTAACAGTCTTTACAGAATTTACAGATTCATCTTTTGTGAAATCATCTTCAGTTTGCTCACTTTCTACACTATTTTCCTTGAAATTGCATGAAAAGTAATGCTACTAATGTGCTTGTGTAATAAGTAAAGACAAATTATCACTAATATATAATATAGTAATATATTATTCCAGAAGAAGGATGCCAAAGCTCGAAACTGTATGTGCTAAATCGCACAAATATTGCTAATTATTATCATAGATTAATTCAATTTTGTAAAAAAAATGGTAATTCTGGCTGGCACTGTTCTTTACAGACCACAATCAGTCGAATGGCATCCCCCCAAAAACGTTATAGATTTCATATTCTGTAACAATTCCAAAACATGCGTCTTCAAACCAGAGTTATTGTTAATAGATTAGAATTTTGTTTCAAATTCTAATCAAGAAAAATCAATAATATATTGTATATATAAAAATGTTTTGGACATGATAGGCATTGCATTATTGTGAGGTTGTGAACTGCAAAAACATGATTCAAACAGAGCATACAACAACTAATTCATTTCCTTTCAATATATGTATATCTTCCTATGAACAAAGTTCACAAAGTCCCGCACAGATTTTATACTACAAATTATTGGACACCTATGGATCATTTTGTTGTCGTTGTTTCGAAAAAAAGGCTTTCCGCCAACTACTAGGCTAGACCAATTGATTTTTAAATTATCTGAAGAAGTCGCCAAAAAGCTATCTTTTTTATTTTAATTTTCCTACGGTGAAGTCCTGCAGTGTATTGTATTTCACTAAATGACTTTGCCTGTTTTATTTTATTTTATGAGAAAACTTTTATATGACATACGGGAACACGTTTATATCAGATTGATTGATCTCATGTATTATTCCAGAGCTATTTTCGGAAAAATTCCTTGCGCTATAGAAAATTTCACCATTATATCAAAAAAAAAAAGATACTGACCTTGGAATTCTCACTTAATAATTGTTTGGCGTTATCATGCTCATCTGTGATTCCATCACCTTCCGCGAATGGATTACCATCAGTTTCATCTGTAATTTCTTCAGCAAATGGATTAGAAGAAATTCCATTAGTTTCTGCGAAAGGATTCGAGGAATTCAAGTCGTCATAAGACTGATCAAAAGGATTAATTCTTATATTGGATTCTGGAGGATTTTTCTTGGGTGCTTTTCTTTTCTTTTTACTTGACGTTTTATGGCTGTTTGACATTAGATGTCGATCGACTTCCGTTAGACTTTCTTGACCGAGTAAAAAGTTGTTGCTCGTTCTAGCACCATCTGCTTCTGATAACTTGAAATTTTTTTCCTGGTCAACCTAAAGTGAGAAAAACCCAAGAAAATGTAATCTCTATTGCAAAGTATTAGATAGTTTTTGTAAACGTATTTCAAATACTTGAATAATCTAAGCAACAACTAAGATGACAATAATTATCTTGAATGAAAACGATATTACTGCTATTGAAAGAATCTTGACTTACTTACTGTTACTGTTATTTAGAATAAATATTGAAAGTTAGCAGTAAAATATTTATTGTGATAAATCTAGATTTAGAATCTAATTCAAAGTTGTAGTTAATGATACTATTTACAAAACTAACAGTTTTTTCACAAAAAATTCTATAAATAACAAAACCAACAACTTGGATTTTTGAGTCACAAGATATTTCAATTTGAAAATAATTACCATTGTTTGAATTTAGGTAGGAATTCCCATTTTTAATATATTTTTGAACTTCTATTATACCTGACACATTGCAAGTTTTCCAATCTTCGGTGAATTTTTACGAACAACTTCAAGAAAATCCTTCAATTCAGATTTTGAAACTTCTTTGATATGCTCTCGGATTTTCGGAATATTTTCAATCATAATCTCACAATATCTATACCTATGAACAGGTGGCAAATAAGTATGTTCCAATTTTTCAAGCGTTTTCAAAGCAGAGTAGTACCTGTAAAATATGAATATTAGATGTCAGAGAATATGAGACTATAACATGCAAGCTGATACCATAATTAGGCAGCAAAAACATAATCCAGGCTGAATATAACATCATAAAATTTGACATATATAATTTTTTTTTGTGGTAGCAACAAGTTGTACAGTAAAATATTATAAATATCAGTTATTTTTTCTTTGTTGAATGTCTCAAATCGGACATCCCAAACAATCATGTTTTATTGTTTTTATCATACACAATTATATGAAGCAAACATAGTCGTGAAATTCCAAGAATTGAGTTATAAATGACTGTGCCAGGACAGGAAAGAATCGTAAACTCAGAATAAGAACAACTAGGAAACAATGACTAATCGATGTTGTAATACTCAAAAACATTCCAAAGTACAAAATTTACTCTGGCTATGGCAGCACACAACATGGTATGTATGTCCCATCAATATATCAGTTATAGATGGTAGTTGGTACAATCAATAAAAATTTCTTAAAAAGCATTTTTTCAAAAGCCAGAAAATTACAGATATCCACAATGAAATAAGACTAGGCTCATGGGCGAAGGCTGGATTTTTAAAGGGAGGGGGTTCAAAATCGAAATCCCAATCTATGGCGCAACAGCTTCTGAAACAGTCGCCGTGATTATGTCACTCCATATCAAGGCCCAATCTTCAGTGAATAATGATTTTGCTGTTAGCAACCAGTTGCATATAGGCAAGTTTTAAGTAAAAAATTGATTTCCAGCAAATATCCTAAAATCGAAAGAACACCAAATGAAATGCTTACCATTTCTACTCTAACATTAACCTAATATTACCTCCCAGCTTTTATTTGGTCTTGCATTTTCCCATATGTTTGTAGAACAGGTAAACACATAGTTAATTCATCAATGGCAGAAGCAATATTCCGTTGTTGCAATCTACATTGAATTAAATCTTGACATTTTCTGCATAATTCCTTACCAGACTCTTGCTGCTCATTATTTATCAAAACAACTTGATTCTAAGAAAAGGAAATCGTATTGTAATACACAAAGTTAAATGTAAAACAGGAGTTCTCAACTTTAATCTCTCTATGCTTATTTCAGAAGTAAAGTTCACCCCCATTTTTTATACATTTTATTAAATTAATTTTCACTTCTTCCAACACTTACAATTAATCCTGGGCAAAATCAGCGGAGAAAGAATGAATTTCAATGAAGAATTGAGGAATCAGATGTCTACAATTGATTTTGTCAAGTAAACATGAATAGCATTCGTTTTCATTCAAAACAGATAAACAGAGAGACTCTGTACTCTGTATTGATAGAATAGTCAAACAGCTGCAAGTCTTGTAGCAGAGAAATAGGCAAATTTTTTACTAGCGAAATTTACACTAAGGTTGGTCATAGTAACCCCAAACAGATAAATTTACCCCCAGTTAGGAACCCCTGATGTACGAAACGACCAGAATATATCTGGCGGTAGCCTTCAATTGGTATGGCATGATTATTTCACATCATATTACAAAGCTAAATTTGATCTCTAGTTGGAATGTGGGAATATTATATTATATTTCCTTAAAATCCCTTTACAGTTGGACAACATGTTTTTCATTGATACAGGTACAAATATAGGTAAGCATCACAATTTTGCTATAAAAAACTTTCAAGAATACTGTTAAAGGAATGAAATCTGAACTGTAAGAACTTTTTCTAATGTAAAAAAGTTGTCTTTGTATTTATTAGAAGCACAAAATAAGGTTCCTAGTAACTAAAATTTTGAAATTTTACAACACACCTCTTGAAAGCTTATTATAGAATAATAAGAATAAAATTTGAAAATCTAAGAAATACCACATTGGAATGATAAAATGAAAAATACTATGGGTCTGATACCTTCAATTTCTCAGCATCTCCACGAACTTTTATCAATTCAGTGATTGATTCAATGAAGCCTTGATAATGAAAATTACACAAACGTTCTATATCTCTATCATGTTGTTTGATTCGTTGGTCAAGCTTTTGTAGAAATTTGTCATGATCACTTCCTTCACACACGGCCCTGTAAATAGAAATTTTTCTAATTTAAGAAAAAATGAGCAAAAACAATAAATATATTACAAATCGCCAATCGCGCAACATACCGTATGTTCTTGTCAAAAACTAAGAAAAAATGGAAATAATGAGCTGAAATTTGGCAGAATATTGTATCTTTTATCCATCTCAAAAGTTTCGTCATGACTTTACAGTTCGTAATTTTGTGGTAATGACAGTCCAAGTTAAGTTAAATCTGATTTATTTATAAATTTATAATACATCAACAATGGTAGCCTATTCCCCTAATTAAAAATCCTTAAATACATCCATGCTCATCTATATAACAATGTAATTTTTGTAATCTCGGCACAGCAGAGAAGTATACAGAACCCTGAAATGTGCAAATGTGTGCATGCAGACAGGTTGTTAGGGAGCTGGAGACTGGAAAATTTCGACTTTGAATGTTTGAATAATGATAATTCTGGACATACTGACATAGGCTACAGACATAGCAAATTCATTGAATTCAGAAATTGTATCTTCAAGGAAAAGTTTCACATTCTGACATTTTTTATGATGTGAAAATCATAGGGTTAGCATTAGAATAGTGCTAGAGATTTTTTTTGTCGCTGAGAGTGAAGTCCAGAAGTCAGGAAGTTGATGAAAAACTGACTGAACGGCGCTACTTGCCGTATAAAACTCCAAAATTATGCAAGTTACCGGTATGTACAAATCACCCGATGGGGAAAAAACGTTAGAGAAGCACACGTGTGTGGTCTAATGAAATATGTCTGTATGTGGCACCTTAACGATGCTCCGATGAAGGCTGTGTCAGTTGTTTCAATTTCCTTCAGTATCCGCTCGTGTTCGCGATCAGTATCAAGTTCCTGATCTCCTCCTGAAATTACATCATCCTCCAGGATATCCATAGCCTGATTTCAGTAACAGTTCCAGGCCTAGCTCGACATTGTGGAAGACGGCAGATCTCCGATCGACTACAGAACTAAGGGAGGACTAATTTACGCCTGCCAACTTACCCACTTTTTAATCAAAAATAAACGATTTGGGCAGTGACCATCTTATATTTTCGTGACCTTTAACCCCGAGAAGATGAGAAAATCGTCATCTCTCTTGCGCCACGGAGACGCAGAGAATGATAGCAAAAGAATTTTGTTCAATTTTTGCGCCTGAATCTGGGTTATATATGAACATTTTCTAAGCTGGAAGTATTTTTATTGTCAGGACCTGAATATTTTGAAAAAAGCAGCGTTTGGAGAAGCAGACAACACCGTAGCCACCAAATTTCGACATCACAATCAGGATACTCTTCTTCCTATCCCGTATTATCCTAGTATGCACTCATACGGATTAAGTTATGGGTTATTAGCATACTTTGTTTGCACAAATCATCCATGATCCGGTACAAGACATTACCATTAAATAAGAAAAAGATACTTTCATCAAATTTCCAAGGCCAAGTTGTTGTCAATGCCAGTAAAACAATATTCAAACAAAATGTTCTATGGGTAAACTATAGAATCTAAAAGCTCCTGTATACAGCAAATAAATTACCTCAGCGCCGGTCCCACAAAAAACCCTCCTTCAATTTCCTGCATCACAAACTTAACCATGGAGTCTTCCGCAGTATCTTCCTCTTGCTCTATGTCAGCCATGAAATCATCTTCTTTTACACTGGTATCGATCGTTTCGAAACATTTCGTTATTGTGTCCGGAAAACATTCTATAACATTTAAAAATTTCATAACGTTCGAAATACCTAATAAACCGACTTCCTTGTTTAACCATGGTCAAATCATCATAACGGTTACGCATAACTGAAATTTTAGCATTTCGCTCAGACACAGGGACAGATCTTCGAGTCTAGTTGTAAACATTGATTCGTTTTTTTTGTTTTAACTGTCGTTTGCCAGTTTATTGTTATGTGCCGTAAATATAAGTGTAAGTCAAATCACTCAGTCGTAGTTTTTTTTACTAAAACGGCTCGGAAAGAGTTGAGATAAACTAGGTTAAACTAAATATCATTACATTTTCACGGCAGTTGCTTCAATATTTTGAAACAAATTGTGCCTTTGTAAAAGTATACCCGTTCACAAGCTTACTCGCTTAAATACCCTTAAAATAAGCATCATAATTTTCTCACTGGGAAAGTATAGAAAATATTCTCAATGGTGCTTATATATATACAAGGTGGCCTAAAAATAAATCGAAAAGTATTAAATAGGACGCAAAATGTAGCCTACTTGTGCTCGTTTACTAAATTGTTGATGCTGGAATTGCCATTGATGTATATAAAATACCATCGCGTATGCGAGAAGTGAAAGATAGCAATAGTGTTTTATATAACAGTTTACATTTCAACTTAAAAAATGGAAGAGTATATTTTAATGCAATTTATCGTACATGATCTCTGTAAGGATAAGGCGACCAACTGTCTTAATATGTCAATGAATGCTCATTCAATTTACCTTCGGAAACTTCATTTTTGACTATCTCTTCTTCTTGCTTTTCCTTCTTTGGAACCTGAAGATATATAATTGATAAGGTATATATTGCATTACTACAAACTACAGATTGACTTGGACAAGTGAACTGAGTTTAATATAACTTACTCGACATAACTTACTAAAGAATGCGTTGAAGAAAAGATACTAGCCTACATGATAAAGGCGAGCCTACTTTAGGATAGGATAGGATTTACATATTTATCCCGGGGGAGGGGAAAGTTGATAAGACGACTTAATCATATGGCGAACCACGGCCTCTCGTCCGGTTACCAGTCCAGGTCGGGTATGGGATTAGTTAGCCAATTATTTGTTTTCGGAAGCATGGAGTTGATGTTGGAGGAAGCCGATTTGATACAACTTATATGAATTACGATAAGTTGTCTGATTTGATGTATTGTATTTATTTGTATGGTATGTCTAATCATAATCTTTTCGGTATCAATGTAATGAGATATATTTCTGCGTTCTAAATCTGATGTTAGCGCATGTTGTTAGTATTGGGCTGGGATCTTTGGTTTGAGTTACAAATAGCATAGGCTACACCAAAGTTAAATATTTCGTAATCCAGTAGTTTGGGACTAGGGAAAGCGGAATCGAGTCCGGATTCTATTACAGAATCGATTCTTCGCGGAATCGATTCTCGCGGTCAAAATTTCGTTTTCTTGTGCGATTTTCTCTCTTGTGACAGATTGGATACACATACTAGGCCTACTTAGTTTTGGCCTCCTTGTTCGTCCAGATATTTTAACATCGCTCTCTTGTTTGATTTCATATGGTATTGCTTAGGTGGGTATGTTTTCACGGTAATATGTTGTGGAATCGATATTCGGAATCGAAAATTTAGAAGTCGGATAAGAATCGAATACTTGTAAGTAGTCATACTTAGCATCCTTATTTGGGACAGGAGTTCAAGTTTCAATTCGTTTACCTCGGTGTCCAGGCCGATTTCGATTAAAAGTTTTTTAGTATAATGGTATTTCGGTGCTCCCGAAGTATGCGAACCAAGATGGCGGACATCGGAACGTAACATGGGTAACAGGTTAGGGTTAGGCGATAATTTTTTTCCAATTTTCCTTATTTTAGTCCTATTATCAGTTCGAAGACTAGCCAAGAGCCTCCCGTAGTATTTATACCTAAAATTATGGCCTAACCCTAACCTAGTACACATATTACATTCCGATGTCCGCCATCTTGGTTCGCATACTTCGGAAGCCCCGATATTTCTTTCAATTGCTCTTGTCCTTCACCAATCAAGCAAGATGCAGCTCATGTTAGCAGGGCCGTTGAACGTCCAATGCTACAGATTTGCTCAAAATCTTATTGTGCTCAAAATATCATACCAATAATTTTTGTGCTTTTTTCTTTTTCCCAGTTATCAAAAACGATTTTGTCTTCGTTCTTCGCAAAGAATTAGATTTGTTTTGAACAACAGTTTTTTCTGTACTGTCGGGTATTTCGCCTGTATTTAAAAAATACTAAAAATGTTACTAAAATTTCTATATATTCTGCATAAAATATTCTTAGTTTTGGATGGGCCATTTTTCAAATTTTACAAAATTATAAAGTATATATATTAGGTGGTTCGAAAGTCTTCCACATATTTTTTACTACAACATTGATTAGATACTAAACAAATAAATAGAAAAATGAATGAAGTGTACAACATATATAATTTTACTGCGGAATGGAGCATGCCCTACTATATCTATATTTTCAATGTAAATGCATACTATTCAACACTAAATCACACATCAAAAATAGGCAGACAAACCAGACTCTTCCTCTGTGATAATTTCTTGAATGGAAGGTTTTCCACGAAGCCTAGAACTTGCACGAAATACATTAACCACTTTGCGCATTGATGACCGACGTTTTCTGTTAGGAACTGCTGGAGGCGTCGCACCATCTGTGTTTTTCTCCGGACTGGAAGGATTTTGTCCATCAGGTGTGTCGGTCGTTGGTTGAGTATCCGCCATATTACATTGAAAATTTGTAATCAGTCTAATAGACCCTTAGTGTTTGTTGGGTCACTCACATATTCTTACTTTTCATATCTTGGAGTCAATGTAACTAGACTATATTGGAGAACACTGAAAACCTTTACATTATTCCGTTATTAAAATGACGTGTTTTTTTTAGTTCGTTGCACACAAATTACAGGATATTATGATTCGTACTCAAATAATATGCTTCGGTAGGTTTTTTTTTGTTGGGTTATGCAAACGTCATATTTGCCATCTTTAATGTACGTATTTTTTTTATTTCGGCACATTTTAATTGGATTTAGAAAGTGAAAACAAAACTTTCTCAGTTTTGTGATTGCGATTCAGTCGTACAGAATTGTTTTTTACCGTTTGGGATACAAAATTGTGAAAACCTATTCTTTTTTGGGGGGGTTAAATATAAATTCTTTTAATAGATATCAATCGTTATGCTAAAACATGAGTGTGCAAATTTTAATACAGGAGGGCCAATTACAAATAACTGGGTGAAACCGCGGGTGGCACCTTTAGATATCATAGACTCTCTAGTAGTTGCAAGCACAAAAATTTTGGTATTTATCTCGTGACATGGGTTTTCTCTTCGCTCAAGCCAGCTGCTAGGGCATTGTAACGTCATATGCACAGATAAAAAAAATTGAACTCGGGTATAGTCTTGAAATTACTCGCACGTACCAGATTACCAGAGCCGCACAATTTTTTCTTGTGGGTCGCATTTGGCCCGCGGGCCACAGGTTGCACACCCCTGTTCTAAAACATTCACACCAACTGAGTCATTCCGTAACAAATTTGTTTGTAATATAGATAGATAATATGGTTGGTGCCTCCAATTTCACCAAATTTATAAACCTTTTTATAAACGGAATTTGTTACCTATTCTCCGCAGCTCATATTCCATAACTACCTGTTTTCATTTGGTACACGTATCTGCCTGAATGAATTCGTCAAGTCTCCTAGTTACTTTGATGCCTGTCGATTAATGAAATTTAAGTAATTTTATTATCGATGAGGCTCTGGAATATATCTGTATCGAACCCCTATATATACACGAACTTCCCTATTCGTCCCTGGTATAATTAATCACTTCACAAATATCAATCACAAAATATTCCCCATATACATGAATCCGATTCACTCTTCGGTACAGTCGAATCGCATCATGCATCGTAATATCGTTGTTTCATATAAGTAAATGTAATGGCATTTCATAGTTAACATTCCGCTCTATCTCACGACTTAAACATTGAATACTGATAAATGCCAACGGTTAGGCACTTTATGTACAGTCTATACCCGCCGAAATAATTTTGTTACCGTTCTCATTGTATACCAATCGCAGATTCATAAATTTTATATATACACCTCTAATTCGTTTTTATTACAATATAGTTTATACGCGATGGTACACCGGTTACGCAAAGAAATAATGCATATTGTAATGCAAGCAATTTATTGAATGAACCGGTTAATGATTAATAAAAAGTGTTGACGTCGATCTCGCCGCCTATTTGAATGTAAATGTTGGAGTTTACGACACAAAATAAATTTCAAGCAACATAACTGAGAATATAATATTATGAGAGTATTGTGTTTTAAGGTGAATTTTAACCTTTCCATTTACATGTACCATAAGAATGTCCATAGGAAATTAAATATTTGGATTCGAAGATGTTGAAACTTGTCTCAATTGTAGATAAAAGCCGACTCACTCTGTATACACTAGTAGAGTGTATACTAAAACCATAATGTTACAAATCCGCTTTTCGTGTCATAAAATGCACGCACCTCATCTGCTACAAGTACTGTTAAGCTGTGTCGGAGGACTGTTTGTGGAATCGACTGTCGATCGCTTGCAGTTTTCATGAAACTTGAATATACATGAACACTGGGGAAGTTCAGAAAAATATTTTGGGCATGAATAATTTCTACGAAGGGAATTTGTTGTCAATATTTATTATTGTTGCCAGGATTGGGCCGGTGTAATACACTTACAATAAACTTGATCCAAATATTCATCAGTCGGACGAACGGTATTTATTTAACAGTATACAGAAAGATTCAGAACGATATAAACACACAGACAACTGAACAACAGTCTCAGACAAAGAAACCAGCGACCAGCGTATTCACGCTGCACGTCACAGTTCCCCATTATTGCGTCATAATCACTTTAAGTAAGTAAACATTCCGTAAAATCATACTACAACATTTGTAAACTTTGTTTCATTATGTTTATTGTTCACATCTTTTCGCACAAAATTATGTTCTAATGTCTTAATAAAATTGGCCTTCTGAGCAAACAATAAAATGCCAATACCTCCATTATATATTTCTTGCACGTTTTTCGCAAAATTGGCTCTGTTTTGTTTAGGTTTCATGGAATCTATTCACGCGTAGGCTACACGTGTTTTTATTCAAATCAGATAGGCTTTTTTTTCATTTTTTGTAACATCTTTACAAACTAAAGCTTTTGCTCAATATTCATTAAAATGTGATTCTTTGTGTTATTTACCTTTTCTATAGGTGGTACTCGAACGCCGAACAAAATCTCTGGATGGTACAGAAGAAGAAAAGTTTGGGAATTACTGTCATAAACCATTCTATTTACACGAATTCAAACCCAATTTTGTGAAATTTTGTCCACCAGCTGAAATTTCAAACAGTTATTCAACGCTAAAAAATAGATAATTGTATCAATGGTATGAGCCTCCCGTTTTTGGATAATATTTATGCAATATTATTAATACTGCTGATTCTGTATTCATTTCTCCAGATGTCTTTTTCTGCTATTTTAACAGGTACCCATATTATATCAGTGGCTTTGATGGCGACTTTTTGCTGTCAATTTATTTTTTCCACTTGTTTATTTTGTCGAAGTTTTGATGATGTTGTCACTTTATATGCAGCGAGGCTTTTCTCGAGCTGATAATTGTATGAACTATATAACTGCATTACTTTTTCTTGTTTCATTTACATATGATTGTGAATCTCTGTTATCAGTTATGAACTTTATTTCAGTCATGTAACGGATGTTTTCCAGAGCATCGACTTCCTTGTTTACTTCGTGACATTGGCCAATCATCAGGATGCAAAAAAGCCTCTTTTCGCATCCGCTCATACACTTTTCTCACTCAGACGGATTTTAAGGCGTGGTCGTGAACATTACCTCGTTCTCGCGTTTTTGAATTATATTCGTTTGTTTTCAGTTATGTTTAGGAAATTAAAAAAAATAAATCAAATGATTCAATGATCATTTTGCCTCTTAGGAGTTTCAGTTTAATCGTAAATATATACTATTACGGGTTCAATTGCAGTAATCAAAAATTAGTGTAGAAATATATACCTGTGATAAAGTAGCCTAAAATTCTTTACGGTACTTAAAAAAAAACAGGTTGTTGAATGCTATGAAACAGAATGATGGTTTGAAACAAATACCCCATTTTACAGGCGCTAACTCGCGAAACCACTCTTAAAATAACCACCGAAAATTTTGCAATGGTAAAATATAGGAAGAATTTTCCAGGGGTCAAAGTTCGGGAAACAGTTCATAGTCACGGACTACAACAGCGCCAACTTTAATAAACTGTGATTCTGAATTAGGTCATGCAAAAAAGTCAGGCCATGCATAAAATGCACACACAATAAAGATACCAGTTGAATTTTCTTGGCACTAGTTTATCCCAAAATCAATTCTGCCATTTTCAAAGCACAGGGCTTTACTAGCGTCTCTCCTAGATTATGCGAGGCTTTTTGCTGAGCGATTTCTACACAAGTTCCAATCATAAGCGTGTTTCGTAAGTGTTTTAATATTTTCCAAATAGTTATAAAGTTTGACTTTATAACTATTTACCTTTATAACTTTTTTTCATTTTCCTTCCTATTTAAAGTTTAGCAGACAATAAATATAAAAGGGGCGTGTCTAGAGAGGGCCATGGAGGCAGTCACCCCGGGCATCACGTTATAGGAGTGAGTTATTATTTTTGATGTTAGGTATAGGGAGCATCATTATCAGTTTTACAGTAATATTAAAATTTGTCAAAGTTGGCAATTAGCCAGAATTATCTGATTTGGTCTTGAATTAAGTAAGAGTTTATTGGACTTTTAGATAGAACTGAATATCAAGTAGAGTCGAAAGGTTAAATATTCAGAAATCAAAAAAAAATAAATGTCCAACCAAGCTTCATGAATAATTGTAGTTATATTTCGCCGGACTAACCAGAATTGCTGTACTGTTTACTGTTAATACTAAATTCTTCTCGGTCTACAGCATTATGTCGCAGCACATTTTATATAGGGTGACCCAGAAGCAACGGAGCCCAATCCTTTTGGAACATATTGTATTGGTTCCATTTTTTCTGGGTCATCCTGTAGTTCAAGAGTCACTGTTATGGATGTTTTCCCGAATATCTTGCCAATGCAAAAAAAATTATGCAAAATTCGAGAATATTTCCCAGATTTAGCGAACACAAACTTGTTTCATATTCATCTTTTTCAATCAGAATGTTCAATGAATGCCATTTAAATGTACGAATATCCTACTCTAGTCTAATCTGTCAGTTTTTTGGTAATACTTTATTGATTACTGCAATTAAACTAAAATTCTAATTGCTATTTATAAGTTATTTGATTATTGCCACATTTTGGCAACAAAACTAAAAACTGATATATAAGTAGGTAGCAAAAGCTAGTACAGTACAATCAACCGTCGTACCTGAATTAAGCGGAGTGAAAATTTGTCTGATTGTTTACTACAATTTCAATGTCTACATTACTTATTATGACACATTGCTGATTATCCTTCATTGTAGGCCGTACAAGGACATCGATGCATGGGGAAACCTCTAGAGAAATGTTTCTCAACCTTTTTTGTTTGTGGCCTTTTGGTTCGCCAATGTAGTCACGGACCTCTACATTGCGACAAATGTAATAAATTGTAATCCTGATTTAGAATCGGGTCTGATGCGAACACACACACACACACAATAAAGATACCCGCTGAATCTTCTTGGCACTAATTTATACCAAAATCAACTCTGCCATTTTCAAAGTGCAGGGCTTTACTAGCGCTTCTATCATATGCGAATTTTTTGCAAATAGTAACGCCACTTCGCGCGAAGCTTGACAGTGCTTTACTGTGGAAAATATCCAATTGCATCCCATTCTTTCATGTAGGGACAAATCATAACCAGTAGCAAAGTTTCGTATTAATTATATGCAATAACATAGTATTAATTGCGTGCAAAATCGAGGGAGAATTTGTGTCGTCTACCGTCAGAGCTGAAACGCTTTAATCATCGCTTATCGCAAACCTTAGGCGACTACACTTTAATCGGCGTTATTCGCTGTCACGACTAGCCGAACCTAGTCCAAAATAAAAGAAAGCATAGTTTAAGGCGATCTTTGCCACGTTTTCCCCTACTATTTGGATTATGCGAAGTATGAACCAACTTACAGCACATCGGAAATGATGTTCAGGCTCATTTAGGCAATTTTGGCTTTTGATTCTAATTGTCTTCATGGCTGAGAATTTCTGCCCGCACTAGTGGTACGTGTACCACACGTTGAGAACCACTGATGTAAGGCTACCAGACGAGAGGCTGTGGTGGACTGTATGATTAGGACATTCTACCAACAAACTTCTACCCGTGTTGGAAAAAAAATCGTCAACAAAACAAGACTATGAGTAACAGAGAAAAATGATAGAAATGATAAAGTGTGTATATTATTTATTGCATCTTTAAACCTTGTATTGAGTGAAATTTGCACACAATTGAAAATCCACCAATAAAACATATGATTAAACATATCTAACAACCAAAAATTAATTTGTGTTATTCATTTCATACTACTTACTACACTACGCAAATTGGGCCCAAAAACCAAAGTGCTTTGCTAAAATAGTCTTCACATTGGAATTTAATAGAGGGGATTATATCTTCACATTCAGAACTCATGCCATTGGTAGCTGGTGAGCAGCTGCATATCTCCCAGTTACATAGTGATATATCTGAAATAAGAATATGTGGCTAAGTATTTAAATTAGAGCTGTTATGTGGTGGTCATAGAATCATGTAGATCAGGGTTTCCCAAAATTTCTGTCCATCGGTACCCTTTGGGAAATTTAAATTTGCTTGTGTACCCACTACATATCATCATATTTTTGGCCGCACAACTTTATAGCTTGGTAATATACTGGTGACCGTACATTTGAACCCACGTACATTTGAACCCATGCGTATATCCGCGGGTTCAATCTATATGCGGGTGCTAAAACCCATGGGTTAGGGTGAGTATGGGTTCAAATATCCGTAAAACAAAAAACAATTCATAAGTGCAATAGTATGCAGGTGCAATTGCCATGGGTTCAAATGTACGTGGGTTCAAATGTAATGGAATCTAATATACTACGTACCCTCTGAATTTGCTAACAAGTAACAACTTCAAAATTCGTTCAATGTACCCCAGATTGAGAACTGATATAGATAATCTTTATTCAATGAATGCATTTATTCGCATTTGGCAATCAAAATTCCAATTACAATCCCGGGAAACTATATATTTTGAGGATTTCAACGGAATATTCATTAAACTAATTACTAAGGCCATGAAACAAATGTTTCAATTGTGATGTGATAATAAAGACTGTTCTTAGAACTTGCACAACTAGGGTGATTTTAGATTGTACCTGACCGAAATGTCTTCAAATATTGAAACATTTATTAAACATCATCAAGTTCGTTAATTCGTTATTTTGATTTGTAATGAATTTATTTCAAACTTCACTTTTTTTTTTATTGCAGAAAGCTGATGATAATGAATATTCCCGTGAGGTAGATAAAATTATGAGAACCATTATGTTGAACCACCTGGCAAAATATTTTTCTCAATTTTTTTTTACCTGTCTTTCAATATCAGTGAGCAATGAGGAAGCTCCAATCCTAAACAAGTCATTTCTCATCCATTCATCACCCAGCTCCTCTTTCATCAAGGCAAGCCAAGTACAAGCGTCCTTCGCACTACGGATTCCTCCTGCTGGTTTGAATCCAACCTGAGAAAACAAAGTCAGGCATGAATAAATGCTCTAAACCAGTGCTTCCCAACTGGGGGTCCGTAGCCCACCAACGGGCCACAGAGCAGTCAGAGGGGGGTCACCATGGCGGGTGCAAAACTAATTTCACTTTTCCTTATATTAGAAAAAAAACTTTCATCCTAGTTTCATTGCTTGATAAAGTTACTCTACAAGGTGTTTTCTCTTTGTTGCGCATGAATTGTTTGAACATAATGGATTTGGAATCTACAAATCAAAGTAACACTATAATAAATACCACTGAAATGATAAACAGGGACCATGAGTGATGAGAGCCTCCGAAAGGGGGCAACAGGATATGGAAGGTTTGGAACCACTGCAGTTTCAACATTTCACAGTAGTTTATAAAGAAAAGCAAACGATAAAAGATGTTCAAACTTATGAGAGTTGAATATAACACATGACAAAAGATGACTTTCAAAACATACCTTATACCCTGTTTTCTGATAATATTCTCTGATAGCTCTAACCATCACTAATCCAACAGGTAAAGTTGCATTCACACCTTCTTTGCCAGTTGATGTTTTGATAAAATCAGAACCTGGTAGAAGAAATAAAAATGGCTGAAATAGTTTCAGAAACTGAAATCAATTGCATATCTCGGAGACCAGGGTTGTGTACTGTGATTATGGTAAAAATAAAAACTTTAGGTTTTTGTAAAAATTGAATCCCTGATAGTTTCGAGTACGAGTGAAATTGAACATTTCGGAGTCTGTTTTAGAAATCGTGAGTCAAAATCACAATGTGCAACAAAAATTAGATTAACTATCAGATGGGGTACACAAGACTTTTCTTGCTGTTTTGCACGAGTAGATGCATATGCGTAACCCATCTGACAGTTATTATAATTTTTGTTATACAGTGTGACTCCACTGAGTTTTATTAGTTGGGGTTACCCAAGCCCAACTACCTTACCTTGCTTGGCATATATGCAGCAAGACTCTCGACTTGAATCAATTAAAAAATTAAAAGCTTGTAAATTTATGTGTTAATTTATTCCGAAGTTTGTGTTGGAATTTAGTCAATTTAGGCGTGATTGTGCTAAGCGTTAGGAACCGCACCTCTGATTACTCTGTGTGGGCTCTCGGGTTCATCCACTCATCCCATGCGGGGATAGTTATGTACAAGAGTATTGCTGGTCTCCTCGCTCCGTAGGGTGGTAAGATGTAACTGCTGGTCAGATACGGCTTCCTCCACCATCAAGTCCATGCTTACGAAAACAAATAACTAACTAATCCCACATTCGACTTGGACTGGATACCTGACGAGAGACCGTGGTTCGCCACATGGTTAAGTCGTCTTAACGACTTTCCTCTCCCCTGGGATAAATATGTAAATCCTATCCTACAATACTTACCAGCCATCATTGCTACTAGACTTGCTTTATAAACATTTGTCATAGTTCCCAAATCTCCTGTACCAAGTATTGTTTTCATATGAACACCGTCACCACACACTTTCTTACATGCCTTGACCTCGTTGTAAATATCTTGAAAAATATGTTGAATCGTAAATAGAAAATACTGTATGATTTACCGTATTTACTGTATTTTACCGACCATAAGGCGCTCTTCGAACTTTTTTAAATCAAAAACCGATCGTGGCCTTGTTGTAACCAGTTGCCTGATATGATGTATGGATCGTAAGAGTGCTTTTTGCTTTATTCTCTACACTCAACAGGAGTGCTAAGAGAAATATTAGTGATGAAGCGGCATGTTTAGAATCATTTGTACAGCTGTTTGAAAGCAGTATCATATTTTACGATAAATATGGAAGCCAATAAGAAGCATGTGACAAACCACAGACTGATATTACTTAGGAAAGTAACTATCCTATTGTTTCAAATGAATGGACATAAAAAGACTTGCAGATGGATCAAAGTAACAAAACAGAGGGAAACTGTACACATGAGACATATGTGTGATTAGAATTTTGAACAAAAACAAGATGGGTTATGAAAAATAATTCAATTATAAAATTTTTGAATAGAGGAAACTATTTGGTAAAGCCATCCTGTCTTGCGCATAAGTTACTAATATGTAAAAATCGGCTAGAGTGCGAGTCCGATACAAAGCAACACAGACAGTCATTGCAAATAAATTTAAAATACATTTTCATCCGACCAACCTTTCCAATCTCCATGTAAAGCTTTTGTTCTGGAAATCACAATATCAATTTCAGAGGCTCCCGACTCAACTGCCCTCTTAATTTCGATCAATTTAGTTTCTAATGGAGTCTGTCCTGCAGGAAACCCAGTTGCAACTAGAAAATAACAAAGAACCATTTCATTTGGTCATAGTCATTTTGTAAAGACTATATAACAAAGTAATTCAAATCCAGGCTGGGTAGACAGTGATTCAAGAGCAAGCATTAGTAATGATTATAGCAATACTGCAATATGCCAACTGAATAAAATGATCTAAATATATTGTATAAAAGCATATCAAGTTTCTAGACGTAGAGGCAAACTGTTTTAGAACCATTGAACTGAAATGTGATCTCACCTGATGCGACTGGAATATTATTAATTCCAGCTGCTTTCAAACATTGAACTGCTTCTTGCACTCTGGCCGGGTAGACACACACAGCTCCTACTGCTATACCTGGAGAGATAAATTCCAATTCATTACATCCGAGGTGTGCAGCTGTTAATACAGGAGGGCCAGAAACGAATAACATTGTGCGACCGCCGGCCGCACCTTTATTTAACATAGGTTTCTAGTGGTTCCAGGCACAAAAATCTTGGTTAATAAGCCTATGACATGTGATGTACGATTCTTACAAGCTAGTTGTCAGTGCATTGTCACGCCATAGGCATTGATAATAAATTGGATTGGAATTACACGCACGTACCAGACTAAACTCAAATAAAACTAGTTTAGCGAGCCGCATACCATTCAAAATTGGTACTTCTACGTGGGCCGCACAATTTTTCCTTGGGGACCGCATTTGGCCCGTGGGCCGCAGGTTGCACACCCCTGCATTAAATTACTGAACATGATAAATAGTAAGAATGACAATGACTATGCAATAATTTGTAGTCAATCATCCCAAAAAATACGACCTTGTTTTGTATATTCACATTCCATCCACGCATTTTCAACATGTTTTTTGAATAAAACATACTTTCGCCTTACTATTTGTTATTTGCAGATTATTGTTAGCTAGTTTTTTTCAGATGGGGTGCGAGACTAGACAAATTCTAAAAAGGGGGCTCCTTAAAAAGTTTGAGGATCCCTGTTTTACTGTTTTAGATTGAATATTCAGAAACAGAAGTACTGCAAAGCAATATCTCACCAGCATCCTGCATGTCTAACGCTTTAATCAAATCATCTCTGATTGGATGTTGAGCTTTATAGCAAAGTCTTTGTACATTTGAAAAAGTGTCATCTCCTGATAAAGTCGTTAAATCAATACATGTTGTTGCTCGTAATAACCAGGCCGCCTGTTGGAAAATAATATCATGTGATTGATATATGATTGTGTTTGAACAAATTTCCAAAAACTTCGATTCCTGAAATATTTTTTGTAAATATATCAAGTTTCATAAACGTGGATATTGATTTTAAATGATAATTATGGCCAAAAATGTTTAAAATATAATCAAACGCACCTGCCATGCTTTTTTCACAGTTCTTTTCTTTGGCAACGTTTCTGCTCTTCTATTTACAGCGGGAAGATTTACTATAGTTCGTTGAACCCAGTCTAAATCTGTAATAGGCCAAAGTTATAACGATTTTCCACATATTAACATAGGGCTGTAAGAACAGCAAAACAATCCGACAATTGCATGCATTACCGGTATGCCGGTACTGCAGTACTGGCACAGAGTGATTGCAGCATCATTTAATTTAGTTGGTATTGTGGTACGGTACCCGTAATCGGTTGTAATAACCATACCTGTTATCTGCACATAACGTCATAACCAATCTGTCAAAGTCACAATGTACAAACGGAATGCAAATAATGGAAAACTTCACATTTATCTAAGATCTTACCTAGTTCAATTCCTGGATTTCGTGATGACATTTTGTCCTCTGTTCAGCAGCTACCGGTATCTAAATAAACATGTTGAAACGTTAATAACACGCACTTTACAGTTGCACAAGCCGATGGTAGTCGTCGCATTGACCATAGTTAACTTAATATAGTTGGCTCACGCTTTTTTCGATTTTTTTTTTTTTTTTTTTTAAATGGATCCACAATGTGGATTATTCAATATGTAAATAATAAATAAATGAAATATAAATAAAGATATATTGTGTACCGTAAGTTAGACATATCTCTCGTGACGCTTGAGTGATGCGTCATGGTATTCTCTCAACGCAGCTATCTGGCTTTTTTAATTTATCGTCGACTGAAATACCACCCGACATTCGACCAGGCGTGTGCCGCGCTTGGGCGATAGGAACGGATTTATCAGCGGCACGAAATTCAAGGTATATGTATTTTATTGGGAGCGCAAAATAAATGTAACAAAACGCACTGTTTTGCGTTATAACTTCGTATTTCGAAAACCGGGTGTAGTGGAAAGCAAAATTTGACCTAAATTAATCGCAAATGATGTTTTATCATCTAACGTCGGGTACTCATCATTTTCCGGGAGAACTAGAAAGTCATTTAATTTAACATCAAGAATGTTTCACTATTTCAATAAATTGAGATTGTTGCAATCGGAAAAACGCCTGAAAGAGGGCAGGCAGTCGGCACCAATAATAAAATGGTGCGATAACGCCGTCTTCGCGTTCTGAATATACAAGCTGAGATAACGATATTTGATGTCTGCCGCAAACGCGTTTGCAGGCACTTTGCGAGAAAACACAAGTGTAATCGCGAGAGAATAAATTCGAAATACAAAAATTGACATACGGAGCCGAAGAGGCGGAGTTCTGGGGATTCAAATCGTCCCTCCCTACCTGGGAAAACTGGATTTCTACTTTTGTGTTATAATCCTGGTATAAATATTCAATTACTATCCAATAAATGCAATCACAGAACACAGAATTACTCTGCTCCTACTCCACTTTGATAACCTATTGTACCGACGCAAAGATGACTGGCCGATGCCACGACCCCCTACTTTATCCTAATGCCTCAGTATATCTTTTCATTTATTTCAACCAACAAAACCATTCCAAATACACAAATAAATTCAAACATTCAAACAGGCTCGGCGGTGTGGCTCAACGGGCTAAGCGTTAGGAATACGCCCGCCACCGCACCTCTAATTACTCTGTGGGTTCGCAGGTTCGAATCCCATGTAGGGATGGTTATGTGCGAGAGGATTGCTGCGAAATTTGAAAAATCGGCCCTTCCGAAACATGCCCTTTCTACTGATCACAGCATTGATTGGGATAACAGCAGGATATTGGAACATGAAATTCACTACAGAAAAAGACTATTTCTCGAATCTTATCATATCAACGAAGAGAAAAATTCAATGAACGATAAAGAAACTACATTGTTCCCGCATGTATATAAATCATTGTTTAGATCAGTGGTTCTTAAACTTTTTGAGCCGCGCCCCCCTTTGAAAAATTTTACATACTTCGCGCCCCCCCTCTTTTTGCTTTGAAAAAATGCTTTTGTGATGGACAAGTTGTTATATATTAGGATGGCGCTATAACTGAGTGTTGGTCTCATAGCGTCATTGCTCAGATTGTTTAGGCATAAAACGCTTCGGAGTACATCTTCGCCATTCACTGTCGTATGTATAAAGCCAAATAGTGGTTGGTCATCATACTTTCCGCCGTTTTTCCGCTCAGTTTTCATTACTTGGCAAAGTCAATCTAATTATTAAGTAAAACTAAACAAGCAATAAACCTATGCTTTAATGTTTTTTCTGCTTAAACGTTTACATAAGACACGTAAAATTTCAATCAATTGTTGTCGCTAAGGCGTTTGCGATTGCATTTTGTTCAAATCTCCATTGTTTACGTCAGCGTGGCGTGTTATTTAAGCCCTAAAAATCTTGATTTCGGTGTTTATTCTTCCTAAATCCGAAATTTCCCTCGACATATTCTTGAGCCGCGAAGACGATTATAATTACTTTTTTTGTTCTCGAATGGAACCATAACACCTCTGAGGAAAACGAGTTAGTTTTTATTATAATCATCAGCGACGAGATGCTAACGATAGAATAAAAAAGTGAACCCGTAACTTAAAATTTACTAAAAATAAAACGGAAAACGCCATGAGTTTTGTTTTGGGGTGGACCGCGACAGATTAAAAACACTTTCTTGGACATTGAAAATCTCATAAATTCCTTGTGCGTGCGGCACACCAGTAGTTTTCTAAAACCACAGACTTGATATAAATTTTTACTCCTTGGGATCGCAGACTCTGGAATATCTGTAACTGTGATATCTTGAAATTAATCGAGTGTCGGCATTGCGATAGAGCGGAGTAAGAGTTGCAGGGACAGCTCATATTGGTGAAATTGGGAAGAATAAAAATCAAAACAAATAAAGCAACCATTTTAAATAAGTATATCAATCATGGATTGAATATTTTATTCAACAGAAAAACCATTACATATCCGTTGAAAAAGTCGGCTCTTTTAACGACTGGCGTAATCTCGAGGACTGACTCAAAAGCCGTACAGCGTGGGTTTCGTTTCGATGAATATGTATTTTTCATCTACTAATATATATACTTTACATGTATTTTAATTGTACTAAATTAAATATACTTTCTGGAATATTATACCAGATCTTTCTAATGACGACAACGAGTGCAATAAATATAAAAACTAAATATAATCGGGCAGTTGATCACACTTTATTATGTCCGCGGATTGGCGTGGTATTTTAGATAGGTAATGAGTTTATTTTGTCGTAAGTCGCCGCAACCGCGAGTTACCTTGAACACAAATGACTTAAAATAGAGAGACATCTTGAATTATTGTAGTTATCACGAGACAGAAAATTTATTATAACACGAAAAAGCCGGTATTTTTAACGAACGCGGAGACCGTTTCAGGAGCCGTTACATGTAAATTTCCGATTCCATCTTGTGACCTCTCGCGCCCCCCCTGAGAGCATCTCGCGCCCCCCTAGGGGGGCGCGCCCCCCAGTTTAAGAACCACTGGTTTAGATAGTCGCGTAATTGTTTGAACTTGCGCTTATTCACTAGGATCTATTATCATATTGTCCCCTTTTTTCAGTTTTTCACGCCGTTTAATTTTTACTATCTTTTTTTATTTTTCTACTCTATATATGTACGACAGTGTACTCTTTATATCATGCCCTGATGAAGTTTTTCTGAATAGAAATTCGAAACGTCGGCAAATTATATCGTTTTGCTATACACCGGTTGTGCGTTATTTATCTTTGACATGAAGATACCTTCTGGCAATCATGCGCTATTTGTTAACTTTATATTCATAACTATTATACATGTGTCCATCAGCCCCTTTACGAAGTATATTGTTGATGCTGGATATTTTTTGCTCTTTATAACCAACAAGAGGCCTATGCTCAAATATATGGACACAAAATCAATAACGAAATGTTTTACCATCATTTCCCCGAGAAAAATCATACGGTTTTCGTGTACCACGTGTCTCATGGGAAATACAAATGTGTGCTGTCCCATCCCAGCAAGCCTGCTATACTCTAGTCTATATATGTATATTTATTGACTTCAGTAAACATTTGTAATTTGGTAATATCTCACATTCATAATGCGGTTCGATATCAGTATATAGGTTCCGTTCTCATACGCGCAATTGCGACCAACAATATTTTAAGAAGTATTTTTATCATTCTTGGTACTACTATAAATATCTCGTTAGCAACACCCGTTTCATGTAATTTAATTTTTAGCGCAAATCAATTATGTTTCATTGTACAAAATTGAAACCTGTCATATAAAACATATTACATATTTTATTGATTTTGAATTTCGTGAATATATTATTTATCAAGTATTTATAGTTAGATCTACTACATGGTTTGCCTTCTTTTTTATTTTGCAGTGGAGCATTGTTGCATATGTACAATGTTTTTCTACTTTAATCTCAAATTCGAAAATACGGAGCGATATGATTCTTTAACGGCTTTTTGTGAAAACATTCTTGACGTGTTTATTTCCAAGAATTCAATACATACAATTAGGAATTTTATCAATGAATTGCAATGGAACATTGGATTTTTTTACTCAATTGACTGGCTGACAGCGATTATAGGAAGCTTTTAAATTTTGTTATACTCTTGTCAGAAGTAATAAGTGCAAGATTGTGTATTCAGATTTTTTTTACAATTTTGACGAAAATGAAAAGTCTAACTATAAGCTTGTTATCAGTCATACAGGTGGGTTGTTTTAATTTACAATATAATTTTATCAGGATAGTTTATTGTTTATTACAAACAGTGTATTGTTTATTACTTTTTTTCAATAACACAGCTTAAAGTAACTTTCCACACTCACACCTCACTTTTCTCTCTTGATCTTACAGACAAAGTCGACTATGTATATTATGTTACTACATCCGATTGGTGACGATCCTGTGACAATGACAGCACAGAGAGAGACGTTGTAGAGAGAAATCTTTGTTTCTTCTGAAATATTTGATGATTCAGTTGTGCCTTTGTCAACAACACCTCGTTTATCATTATGTTTTTGCCAGATTCAATTTCATTCTGTATGCAAATTCTGATTTTGACAACAGGTGTTGTAGACTCAACGCATAACCGATTTCTTTTAAGTTCAGTTGATTATTTATCAAAGTTCATTGTATATAATGTAAATGGGTGCCTTTAATAATAGTATTATTCAAATTTCAATTTTGTTTTAGATTTTACTGATTTATACTTTACACAACTGAGCCTATAAGCAATTCAAATAGGAATTTATGTTTGTTTAGGGTCATGTGTTGAACGTGCATTTACCACGTGAAACTGCAGTTTGTTATTTCATATTTATTTATTCATTCATTTATTTTTTACCCTTTTTTATCATTTTACTTGTGTCACGTGTTAGTAGCCAGCCATAGATACAGTGGGAATAACCTTTGTGCAGATATAGCAGCATTAGATTTAAGGTGAAGACCAAAAGCTATGTTTTGTACGGTAACATCGCAAGAGACTAGGACGACAAGGCGCCAATATTATAGAAAACTCTCTCAATATGGCAATTATTAAGTTAAATGCTCAAT